GCCCTTTTTCATCTCCGGCCCAAAGGGCTTGGTGAAACGTTTGCACGTGTTTCATTACACCGTGAAATTGTCAAATCCATAGACAGTAGTAGAAATAAACAACGAAAAGTTCCATGTATAGCGTATGGAGAGAAAAAAATATGAAAAATGGCGGTCGATCTCCCGAACAATTTCTGTCCGTGGTAAAGGTCGTTTATTCGGGGCGGTGATTGCTGTCGGTTAACTTCAGTAGCTAACCAACGAAACAAAAATATCGATCGATGGTCGGTGGTCGACGAAGAATGTTATCGTCGCGACGGCGATGCACTGTCTGCGAGAAGTCGAGAACTTTGTTGACCCAAATACAAGCGATAATAAGGGAGCTGGCTTAGCCGAGCGTGAGCCTTGGCGCCACAGGGTACTCTATCTTTAATACATCAGGGCATATTTCTTCAAGGTCTTTGTGGAGTCAGAGTTTACTGGTCTTGAAAGTCATCCAATCGAAAATCCTTATGTGCACGGGCATTTGAGTCTTTAATATGTGGTAATTCGACGCGTAGTAATTGTAGCGCTTGCTAGTTCTACGCGTGGTGATTCTAGCGCTTGGTAATTTAACGCGTGGTAATTCAACGCGTGGTAATTCGACGCGTGGTAATTCGATACGTAGTAATTCGGCGCGTCGTAATTTAACGCGTGGTAACTCGACGCATTGTAATTCGACGCGTGGTAATTCGACGCGTGGTAATTCGGCGCGTGGTAATTCGACGCGTGGTAATTCGACGCGCAGCGCGTGGTAATTCGACGCTTGGTGATTGCAGCGCGTGGTAATTCGATGCGTGGTAATTGCAACGCGTGGTAATTCGACGCTTGGCCATCTCACGCGTGGTAATTCGACGCTTGGTAATTTCACGCGTAGTAATTCGACGTGTGGTAATTCGACGCATGGTAATTCAACGCGTGGTAATTCGACGCATGATGATTGCAGCGCGTGATAATTCGACGCTTGGTGATTGCAGCGCGTGGTAATTCGATGCGTGGTAATTGTAACGCGTGGTAATTCGACGCTTGGTCATTTCACGCGTGGTAATTCGACGCTTGGTAATATCACGCGTGGTAATTGCAGCGCATGGAAATTCGACGCGTGGTAATTCGATACGTGGTAATTCGACGCGTAGTAATTTGACGCGTCGTAATTCAACGCGTGGTAATTCGACGCGTCGAATTAATATTAGATTATCTATTATTGAAATTTGGAGTAAGATGGAGAATAGCTGAAAGGATTAATGTTAATATTATAACTAATATTAAATAGTATTAAATACTATGAAGTACTGTTTTATAATTGTACTTCGAATATCATTACTGTATTTATAGTATGTACAGTACACATTCAATCTGTTAATTACAGCAAAATTGACTTGGTAATTATTGTCATGGAGTGTCTGACTTTATACGTGCAGTTCTACTGACATGTTAGGAATAATGGAAATTAAGTGGGGTTTTATTTCAAGATGATTGACACTGCATCCCTAATTGACAATCAACGTATCAAGGATAGAAATAAAGAGTGATGTGATTAAACCGAGGATTGGTTTCATTTAGAGTACCCGTCTCGATAGCTGACAATCAACTTATGAAAAAGTGATGGGGTAAAGTGAAGCTTAATTTAGAAGACGGTAACTTCTATCTTCATTACCATCATTCAACACAACAATTATTAATATTACACGTACAATCACAATTATTTAAATTACAATAATAAATAAATATATAATGATTCACGTGTCCACGCTCGTTTGACCTAAAAAAGTAAATTTCTCTAAGGTAATAAAAGCAACCCTAATCTTCGAAAACAGTCGAAAGTCAAATAGTTAACTTTTGACCATCAGTAAAGCCAGCAGAAGTAACATTTGATCGAATCCACTCGATCGAGTGTAGAGTCAACCGTATCGACCCTCTCGAGTCACAATGGGCCGCAATCAACTTCATTGGACGAAAGTTGAATAGTTTCGAGTTCGCCTGACTGGTATACACAGCGTCAAGAAGTTCGTTAATCTGAATTAGGGAAGTGGTTACGCCTAACTAAATTCGAGGCGTCCACATTGATATCAGTTCCTTTAAGTCGGCTATCGATGTTCCACGAAGCTTCGGTATCAAGAGCATCGAGCCAGAGATTGTTAAGAACTTCGTTGACCTAAATACAAGTGCGATAATAAGAAGGTTAGACCGGTGGAGCTTGAGCTCCGCATCAGGGAACGTCTCGTCTTTAATCCTTTTGGTTACTGTCGTCCTTAGCCGGCCATTTTTCTTCGCCCTTAACCCGATCTCCTCCATTTGTTCTGTTTCAACCCCTGACGTTTCTTTTTATCTGTTTCGTCGCTTATTTTTCTAACGTCGTACAGTTCACACTTAATCAACGTGGATAACATAGAAAAATAAATATATAAAAGGTAGAAAAATAAATGAAGGGTAAAATAAATTAGTATAGTTTATCCGGATAAAAAGAAATATAGAAGAGAAGCAAGCGTTTAATTGTAGTTGGTCATTTAACGCGTGGTAATTGCAGCGCTTGGTAGTTCAGCGCGAGGTAATACGACGCGTGGTAATTGCGACGCGTGGTAATTCGATACATGGTAATTCTATACGTGGTAATTCGACGCGTGGTAATTGCAGCGCATGGTAATTGCAACGCGTGGTAAAATTCGACGCGTGGTAATTTCACGCGTGGTGATTCGACGCGTGGTGATTCGACGCGTGGTGATTGCAGCGCTTGGTGATTCGACGCGTGGTAATTGCAGTGCGTGATAATTCGACGCGTGGTAATTGCAGCGCGTGCTAATTCGACGCGTGGTAATTGCAGCGCGTGGTAATTGCAACGCATGGTAATTCGATGCGTGGTAATTGCAGCGCATGGTAATTGCAACGCGTGGTAAAATTCGACGCGTGGTAATTTCACGCGTGGTGATTCGACGCGTGGTGATTGCAGCGCTTGGTAATTCGACGCGTGGTAATTGCAGCGCGTGGTAATTGCAACGCATGGTAATTTCACGCGTAGTGATTCGATGCGTGGTAAGTGCAGCGCGTGGTAATTGCAGCGCCTGGTAATTCGACGCATGGAAATCTTTACAACTTATAACATAAAACTAATTGCAGCGCATGCTAATTCGACGCGTGGTAATTGCAGCACGTGGTAATTGCAGCGCGTGGTAATTGCAACGCGTGGTAATTTCACGCGTAGTGATTCGATGCGTGGTAAGTGCAGCGCGTGGTAATTGCAGCGCCTGGTAATTCGACGCATGGAAATCTTTACAACTTATAACATAAAACTTATAAAATTTCATAAAATTAAACTACTCGTTTGAAATAAAAAATATAGAGAAATAAATAAAAATTAAATTAGTATGTCTAGGTAAAAGTCACCATAGATGTTTAAGAGAAGCATCTTAACTTGTAATATAAAATATTAAACTTGTACACGTTATTTGGCCGGTTTTGTAGTTGTCGTGTGAAACGGTGGTGGTGGTTCGTTATTGAAAAAACGCCAAAGAGAATTTTCCTTGACAGCGTATAAAACTCAAGGGTGATATTCAGCGAGATAGCTTTTAATAGCCTGCAATAAAGTTTTTGCTCGGATTTCCCCATTTTGTGCTTTGGCATGATGAATAATTTATGCGCTGTTAAAACGTCGGCTGTCTTTGCGCTTTAGTGATATGAAAAGATCATTAAGGAGACACTAAAGGTATAGTGCAAACATATTCCTCATTCGAGGACACAAAATGGGGGATTCATCTAGGATGCGCTATGTTTTATTTCGGATATAATTGGAACGAGTTAATTAATTCAAAACAAGGTTGGATGATGATGGTATTATATCGTTATTTTACGTTGGTACATTCGGGTGCAAGGTAGAGTTGTTTAGGTAGGGTTCTAAGGAAAATCTAGGGAAAATTTACAAGTTACAGATTTTTGTATTTTCAAAATTTTGTAATTTTTAAACTTGTAAATAGTTAATTTTTCAGATTCTATAATTATGAATTTTTCTAAATTTTTAGAGATCTGAAGAGAAATTACTAAATTTCAAGATATCAATATTCCCTAGGTATTATTTAAAATAATTATCTAGTTTCAAATAATATAGTTTCCTAATTTCAAATACGAGTCCTAGTAACAAATATTAGAAACCCTTAATTAAAAATTATTAAAATTCCCTAGTTTCAAATACTAACGTTTCCTAGTTCCAAATATCAGAACTCCCTAGTTCAAAATTACAAAAATTCCCTCGTTCCAAATATCACAATTTCCTAGTTCCACATACCACAGTTTGTTAGTTTCAAATATCATAAATCCTAAGTTCAAGATTACAAAAATTCCCTAGTTCCAAATATCACAATTTCCTAGTTCAAAATCAAAATTCCCTAGTTAAAAACTTTCCAGACTCTCACATTCTGAAAATTAGCAAATTCTCACCGTTTTCAATAAAAAAAAAGTCCCAATATCAAAATCCCCAAATACATCATATTCCCAAATTTCCAAATCCCTCCTCTAATTCTCAAATTTCCAAAACGGCAATACAACGCGAGTCTACGCCCAATCTCGCTCTCTACACATATCTCCAAATTCCCAAATCCATCCCCCAATTCTCAAATCTCCAAAACAGCAACATAACGCGAGTCTACTCCCAATCTCATTCCCTACACTCCACAAAAAGAACCCTACATTGACTTTCCCAGCTCATTTTCGCCAAGTGACAGCAAAAACGCTGCGCTATTACAAACGGTATAATTAGCTATCTACCATACGTCACTCGTTCACATGGCATATCAGCCTTAACTAAACGAAACCTACTTTGCACCCGAGTGAACCGGCACCGTACCAAACACTGCGATACCTATTTCTGTTGCTGAAGCATCAGACTATCGATGACACCGTTAATTGCACTCTGTCTCCACGTCCGGCGACACTTGTCCCCGACGGACGACAGCTGTACGCTCTTCTAATCGCAGAATTTAATGGTATTCCAGAGATTGGTCGCAGAACTGAACAAAGAACAGGAGGCTTTCATTGCCAACAAACACACCGAAAAGGGAGAGGCCGTTGCCCCGTGGGTCGGTGCACCCAACGAGGACGTATTGCGCGAAGAATGCTTATCTCTCTCTACGGTGAGTAATTCCTTTCCACTATGCCACGCTTGTTGTTCGACGAGTCCGCAATGATTTCCTGGTGAACGTTAGAAACACACGGAATCGAGCGATTCAATTCCCGTTTGCATGAACGAGGGAGAGTATAGAGTGCGCGTCTGTGGAAGACTCGCTGATACAGGACCGTTTTATTATGAGAAGGGATTACGCGGTCGCGCACGAGTCGGATTTTTGGTTATTGTGCATTTGCTAGGGGATGTTTTGGGGATTGAGTTGTGGGATTTATGGGTGATAAAATGGGGTGTCGGATGAGAGCGTGCGTCGTAGACGGGAGTGACGTAACTTGGGAAGCTGGGGTGGTAAACCTTAGATATGGATTATTTTGAGGTTGAAGGGCGTAGGATGTGGAATATCTTGTATTTGAAGTTTGGGAATTTCGAGATTAGTTCCAAATTACTAAATATATAGCTTTCTTTATTTTTTTATTTGCTAATTTTCAATTTTTAAAGTTGTAGTTTGTAGGTCCGAAATTCTCAATTCACAAATTCTTATATACCTATTCTCAAATTTTTATGTTCCAAAATTCCCTATTTCCAAATTTCCATATTTTCAAATTCCCTACTTCCTAATTCACTATTTCCAAATTTCCATATTACTAAATCCCCCTATTTTCAAATTTCCATGTTTTCAAATCCCCTAGTTCCACATTTCCATCTTCCCAAATCCCCTAGATCCAAATTTCCATCTTCTCAAATCCCCTAGATTCCAATTTCCATCTTCTCGAATCCCCTAGATCCCAATTTCCATCTTCTCGAATTCCCTAGTTCTAAATTTCCATCTTCCCAAATTCCCTATTTCCAAATCCCTATATTCCCAAATCCTCTAGTTCCAAATTTCCATCTTTCCAAATCTCCTATTCCCAAATTTCCTATTCCTAAATTTTCTATTCCCAAATTCCCTATTCTCAAACCCTCCTATTCTTAAATCCCCTACTCTAAAATTTTCATATTCTCAAATCCCCTAGTCCCAAATTTCCATCTTCTCAAATCCCCTATTTCCAAATTCCCATATTCCCAAATCCCTATATTCCCAAATCCCCTATTCCCAAATCCCCTATTCCCAAATCCCCATATTCCCAAATCCCTTATTCCCAAATCCCCCTACTCCTAAATCCCCAATTCCCAAATCCCCATAATCTCAAATCCCCTATTCCTAAATTTCCCTATTCCCAAATCTCCCTATTCCCAAATCCCCATATTCCCAAATCCCCTATTTCTCAAATTTTCCACTACAAAATCTCCCATTCCTAAATCCCCCATTCCTCAAACTTTCCACTGTCTAATTTCCCACTCTCAAATTTCCCACTCCCAAATTCCCTATTCCCACATTTTCCAACCCCTAAATCCTCCTACCCCTAAATCCTCAAATTCCCAAACATGCAAATCATCAAACCCCCAACTCCCAATTCTCCTATTCCAAATCTCCATATTCCTATTACCCTAATTTGTAAATCTTCCTATTTCCCAAATCCTCAATTTTCAAACGTCCAACTTCACGTTGCAACTAATTACCGTTTCGCGATTCTCCTTATCTAAAAGTCTAAGAAAAACTTCTCCACCCCGTCCATTTTATACTGCACTCTCTAATGTTATTCAGGAATGACTTACGCGATTTTAATGATGATGGAGAGGGTTGTTAGAATAAGAAATGAAAGCATAAACCGTACGTCGCCGACTTGGCGGATAGATTTCTCCTATCTCTATGGTAATACGAATTGCTACAAGAAGTTGAAGATAACATTTCTAAATTAGTCGTGTCTTTTTTAGTGCTCCCGATTTGTAGGTATAGAAATTCTGCGATTTTATTGTGGGGATAAGTAGTTAGGTTTTTGGGGTGCAGTTTCTGTAGTTGGACAATGATTTCAGGATAAACGTAACTTTTTGAGGCCCCCGCCTGAAGGCGTAGACTTCCCATGGGACTTCGAAGCGGTGCAGCCAATGGCTGAAGCAACTCTTGCTCTGGACCCGAATCTTAAAGATATGAGATTCCAACTTGTACCCAAGGTGTAAGTATTCCTATTTGTTTTAATCAATTTTACAAACCTTAATAATAACTTCAATAATTATTTTTCAAGGGTAATTGAAAAACAAAGTGGCTTGATGTAGTAACTTGGTATTATCACATTTAGGTATTGTAGTTGTGTCGATTTGAACTAAAAATTTAACATTAAATGCTCCAATTAACCTAAATCCAACTTTGGCCTAATATCAATCATTGATTCAAATTTAACAGTAATTTTATATTTATTAATGTATATTCAATTTTAATGTAATATCAGTCGATACAAGTTCAAGGTTAATGTAATATCAATTCATACAAATTTACATTAATGTAATATTAATTTAAATTCATCTTTAACATTCATTCAAATTTAATGTTAATTTTATACAAATTAATATAACTTCAAATTAATATATCAATTGATGACAAAATTAATTACTTCTATAAGTTAAGTAGAACATATTCAAAGTTTAAAGCAATCTCAACACGTCAACAATTGCCCTAATTAACTTCTACCGTATCGGTGTTCTACGTCAGCAGAAATGTTCAAGACTTTCAGTGCCATAAGACGAGATCAAAACTACAGACTGAAATTCATACAATATAATCCAATCTGGCGCATTTTCGCGATCAGACACAGTATAGCTCGAATTTCTAATCATGTATCATATCAGGTTACATGTGATTGATTCGAATAATCAGTTCTACAGACAGCGTATATACAGAATATATGTACCGATGCCAACCCATGAGTTGGCGCGTTGACACAGCTGTTTAGAAGAGCGTTGGTTCCGATTGGTCAGAATAGAAAAGTGGACAACTCAAGTGGGAATTGGAGAATTTGAAATTTGGGGAATTTAGAATTTGGGGAAGTGGAAATTGGGGAATTTAGAATTTGGGAAAGTGGAAATTGGGGGTTTTGGAATTTGGGGAATTTGGAATTTGGGGATGTAGGAATTGGAGAATTTGGAATTTGAGGAATTTAGAAGTTGGGGAAGTTGTAATTTGGAGATGTGGGAATTGGGGAACTTAGAATTTGGAGATGTGGGAATTTGGGGAAGTTGGAATTTGGGAATGTGGGAATTAGGGAATTTGGAATTTGGGGATGTGGGAATTGGGGAATTTGGAATTTGGGGATGTGGGAGTTAGGAAGTTTGAAATTTGGGGACAAGGGATTTGGGGAATTTGGAATTTGGGAATGTGAGAATTGGGAAATTTGGAAATTTGAGAATTTGTAATTTGGGAATGTGGGAATTTGAAAATTTGGAATTTGGGGATGTGGGAATTGGGGAATTTGGAATTTGGGGATGTGGGAATTGGAGAATTTGAAATTTGGGAACGAGGAATTTGGGGAATTTGGAATTTGGGAGTGTGAGAATTGGGAAATTTGGAAGTTTGAGAATTTGTAATTTGGGAAAGTGGGAATTTGAAAATTTGGAATTGAGGGATGTGGGAATTGGGAAATTTTGGAATTTGAAAATTTGGAATTGGGGAATGTGGGAATTGAGGAATTAGGGAATTTGGAAATTGAGAAAATCAGCAATTTAGGGATTGGGACAGACGTCTCAATAGTGAAATAGCGCGAATTGCGTTCAACAGTTACTGTCACTATTCTTATTTACCAAAACATAACTAGAAGTGTTAACAGCGAGAAACTTCTTTTACTTCATGTCACGCGCCATCTCGTGGCTTGACATCCGCATGTAACCCCGAATCGATTATTTACCGGTGTAAATGAAATCAGTCCACGGTGGGTCGCGTTAATTGGCAATTTCCAAAACGGTGTCCGATTACCGTAAATCGGAAACTAAGGTTCTCTGTATCGGATTCGAAGTTTCACATCGAGATTAATTCCCCGTGTCGTACAGAATTTCCGAAGAGAATTTCTGGCGGAACTACTTCTACCGGGTGTCGGTTCTCCGCCAGAGCCACGAGCTGAACGCCATGGCCAGCCAGGCAGAAAACAACCAAAATCTGACCTCTACCGGAAATGTGAATCAACCCGAAGGTAATTCCACTTCGACCTACACTATTCGTCGTTAGACATTATTATTCTTGGTTCGATGCATTTTGCCAATGCAATACCGTATATAACAGTCGATCCTCTCGGCCATATATAAAGTTCTTCGATGCATCGCGTTTTGCTTTGGTCTGAAATAGTTTCATGTTGAATATGGACCTTTTTAATATTCTTTTATCAACTCTTTGTTGGAGGACTTATTGAGGCAAGATTGACATAATTTATTAATTTTTTTACTGTGTAGTTTTTTCATGTATGATTGTACTTATGTAGTACAAATTTAATCAGAATATTTTATTTGTTTTTTATTGGGCTTGTAAAATATTTTGTAGAAAATTCTCTTAAAAGAAAAATAAATTTTTAAAAACTATTCAAATTTTGAAAATTTTAATTTTATTAGACAGTGAGTTTACTGTATAATACAGTCACTGTCCATAGTAAACAATTGTTTAATTGCTTCAAACATAATTTTTGTGCAAAAATAATAAAATTTCTTTACGCGATATTTTACTTTAAATGAGTAAACAAGAATCCCTAAAAACTATAATATACAAGAAAATAGTAAAGTCTACATACATGGAATCCACATATATGGCCATCAGTAGAATTTAAATATACCAACAAGAAATATATTAGTAAAGAGGTCCATAAAATATTTTAATACCTTCTCCAATAACACTGTATGTCTTCCATTTATTAATTTACCGCATCGTATCGCAGTATAATACTGTAATTATACTATCAGAAGCAGCGGAACTGTTTTACATATTACATGATCAAATTAATCAAAACGCTTTGCATAGTCGATGGCTGGCACTTTAAGCTACCGTGTATTTATTCCTCAAATGTATATTATACCGCAAATTGATGCTTGAATATCATACGAACACTTATTACATAATTAAGAAGATAAACGGATTGATTTCAACCGCAAGATAGATGAATTACTTATAAACTTTGTGCAGTGGAAGACGCATTTAATATTATAGCTCGTTATGAAATCAGAGACTACCATAATAAAATCGTTTCAGAAGTTTGTGACGTTGTACGATGCTTTTTTTTTAAGAGGTGGTATTTATTCGTTTTATTTTATTCGTTTGGTATTTTTATAAGTTGTAGTTCTGGACTCTTATTTTTGTACTCATTGGCGTTTTGTACTCTTGTACTCATTGGTGATTTGTTCTTTGTACTCTTTACTTATTGGTACTTTTGTATTTTGTACTCTTGTACTCTTTGATAATTTGTTTTTTGTACTCTTTACTTATTGGTACTTTTGTATTTTGTACTCTTGTACTCATTGGTAATTTGTTCTTTGTACTCTTGTACTTTGTACTCATTGATACTTTTGTACTGTGTACTCTTGTACTTTGTACTCATTGATACTTTTGTACTGTGTACTCTTGTACTTTGTACTCATTGATACTTTTGTACTTTATACTCTTGTACTTGGTACTTATTGATACTTTTATACTTTGTAGTCATTGATAGTTTTGCACTTTGTACTCATTGATACTCTTGTACTTTGTACTGTTGTACTTGGTAATTATTGATACTTCTGTACTTTGTACTCATTGATACTCTTGTACTTTGTACTCATTGATACTTCTGTACTTTGTACTCTTGTACTATATACTCATTGATACTCTTGTACTTTGTTCTCATTGATACTTCTGTACTTTGTACTGTTGTACTTTGTACTCATTGATACTTCTGTACTATGTATTCTTATACTTTGTACTCATTGATACTTCTGTACTTTGTACTCTTGTACTATATACTCATTGATACTCTTGTACTTTGTATTCATTGATACTTCTGTACTTTGTACTGTTGTACTTGGTAATTATTGATACTTTTGTACTGTGTACTCTTGCACTTTGTACTCATTGATACTTTTGTACTTCATATTCTTACATACATTGATACTTTTATACTGTGTACTCTTGCACTCATTGATACTTTTGTACTTACTTCCTGGTAATTCTTGGTACTTCTACACTATATAATCTCATACTTTTTGCAGTATGCTTTCATACTTTGTTTCATTATACATAGTACCCTTGCATTTTCTATTTTTATACTTCTACTTATTACATCAACAGCAACTTTCAAAGAACAAAAGAGCGGATGAATTTTTTCGTACTCGACCCAGCATCAATATTTCAATAAAAACCCCAACAAAGTCTCCATAATAAAATGATCTCCCCAGCAAACAAGCAAAAATCATCTTACAAAAAAACAAAAATGTAACATTTTCCCGATGCACTCAAAGGTGCCCTCGCGCGAAAAACGTCACAGGCTTCTGAAATAACCGAATAAAACCAAAACCCAATACCAGCGTCCATCAAACAATTAAATTCACCAACGTGTTTCTATCAATCGCGTATATTCGTTAAAAGTTCAATAACAAATAGACGTCTCGTTCAACACGAAAATTGATCATTGAACGCGTCAAAAGAGCGGCATTGACCGCGTCAAATATCCGACACTTTTGTTCGTATGAAACCCGTCATTGTGAAAGGTGCAATAAAACTAGAGGAGAACAGAGCGAAACGTTTATACCCAGCCATCGACGTCATTTCCGTGGAGAGGGTCGACGTCGGTACCACGTAGAAAAATGAAAAGAAGAACACGTGACACGTTCTTCTTTTCATTATTTTCATCGTTCACTGGTATGTCTCTTAGTTTGCATCGCAAGAGTTCAGAGTTGCTTGACTCGACATACCTTTGTTGCCCGAAAGTAGCACAGTAATTTCCGATCGTCGAGACAGGACGGATTTAGCCCGTTCGTCTGGAGGCGCACGATGTCGCTCAGCGTCGCGGACAAAGCTGAGGGGCAATAAAGGGGGAGGAAAACGTTTACGAGCGTCGTGCGTCTACGATCCTGATCGACGACACTTCCCGAGATGGGAATCCCCTTTGCATGGCACGATTCGATAGTTTGATGTGTCGTGTTGATCTTTATCCTTTAAACGAGCCTCCAATAACGTTGACGTGAAAATACTCGAACGGTTATTGAATGGATTAGTGGGATCATGAGATGAGCTCTGGAAGATTACTAAACAATTTACTGCAATTAGTTAAAATTCCAGATTTATTAGTTGACAATTATAGTCATATTACAGTACTGCACATTAGTGGCTGTAATAGTCATAATTGGCATAATAGTCACATTAGTCAGATTGGTGAAGGAGAGTGAATTTCTGGAGCTCTTCTTGTGGCGAGTGCACAAGGCTTCCCTTGGAGGACATCTTGTATGTAAACTGATAGATTTTCTAGTTTCATAATCTACAAGTCCTATATTTCACTATTGTCAATTCCTAAAATTCCTAGAATTCCAAACATTCCTATAATTCCTAAATTTCCTAAAATTTCTGAAATTCCTAAATTTCCTAAAATTCCTAAAATTTTTGAAATTCCTAGTTCCTAAAATTCTTAAAATTCCTAAATTTCCCAAAATTTCCCATATTCCCAGAATTCATTAAATTCTCAGAATTTCCAATATTCCCAAAATTCCCAAATTCCCAGAATTCCCAGAGTTCCTAAAATTCCCAGAATTCCTCAAATTCCCAAAATTCCCAAATTCCCAGAATTTCCAGAGTTCCTAAAATTCCCGAAATTCCTCAAATTCCCAAAATTACCAAAATTCTCAAACTTTCCAAAATTCCCAGAATTCCTAAGTTTCCCAAAGTTCTCAAACTTCCCAAAATTTCCAGAATTCTTAGAATTCCCAGAGTTCCCAAAATTCCCAGAATTCCTAAAATTCTCAGAATTTCCAATATTCCCAAAATTCCCAAAATTCCCAGAATTTCCATAATCCCAAAATTCCAAAAACTCCAAAAATCTCAACACATCCCAAAATATTACTAATCCCAGAATCCAAAGGTCAACAAATATGTGACCTCTCTCCGTGTCTAACATGTTGTCCCTAGGGAAGCCAGAATGTTGCCTGTACTATCGTTTTTCGATACTTTCCTCTCGAGGTATATCACAGCTGCGTGTCACATCGCATCACGATGAATTTCCTGCGCGTAGCACGACGGGAACCGAACACGCTTCGAATTAGCGAGTCGTAGCCGATTAATATCGCATCGTTGTTACCTGGGTGCTCGACGAAATTACAAATGACCCGTTAATTCGAGCGAAACGATAATTTCTCATGAAATTTCGATGCGTTGTAGTGGTATCGCTTGCGAAATTCATGTACGTCAACATGTTGGGGGCTCGGTTCTTCTTGTAAGACGTTTTGAGAGATGGAAAAATGGAGAAATGGCGGAAAGGTGTCGAATTCAAAATGGAGAGATTGAAATATTTATGAGTAGTATTGAACTAATTGAAGTAGTGACATATTAATGGTGACTGATATGAGTGCTCTAATATGAACAGTAAAATTATTATATAAATTCAAAAATAATTATGTTGTAATATTTGTCAAGTAAAATCAAACAAAGTCAAATAAAGTCAAGTACTTTAAGAACACACATTTTCTGAAACACATATAGTTTCTAGTCAAGTACAGTCAAATAAAGTCAGGTTAATTTAAGCACATAAATTTTCTGAAACACCTGCAGTTTCTAGTCAAAAGTAAAATCAAATAAAGTCAGGTAATTGAAGCATATAAATTTTCTAAAACACCTATAGTTTCTTATCAAGCGAAGTCAAATAAAGTCAGCTACTTTAAACACACAGTTTTTTTGAAGCACCCATAATTTTTAATCAAAAGTAGAGTCAAATAAAGTCAGATACTTTAAACACACAGATTTTCTGAAACACCCATAATTTTCAGTCAAAAGTAAAGTCAAAAGTCAGATACTTTAAGCATACAGATTTTGTAAAACACCCATAGTTTCCTCTCAAGGAAGGTCAAATAAAGTCAGGTATATTAAACACACAGATTTTGTAGAACACCTATAATTTCTAAAATGAATTTTGCCTTATTTATTTTCAAAATTAAAATACTATATGAATAATAAACCTTGTATTTACATGTCTACACACAAGAATTAAATTCACGTTTCTACACACAAATTAAACAGGACAACTGAAACATTTTAGACCACTCCGCCATTTTGAAACACCGGTGCCATTTGATTTAGTTACGAGCCGAATGAAACGCACCGGTTCAGAGAATCCTGAGGGCGGTGAAATATTGTCGGCCCCGTGGAATAATTATTCGATGAGAATTCGAAACCTCCGCCAGGGGTTGTTCACCCCTTAACAACCTTCTCTTCCAAGAATTCAACTGCACTTCCGTCTGCTCTCGAACTTTCACTATCGAATTAATTTTTACTAAAACCGGCTTCGCAAAACTCGTTTCCTCAACAGAAATATCCGGTTAATTGAAAAATGAATATCTCCCGGATGCACCGGAAGTGCAGTATTTCCCGGGATATGAAATTTCAACGAGAACACGGCGCAACGAACAGCAACTCGAGCGAGATACACGTTTAAACGCGACTGTTGATAGACAAGCTTTAGAGCTTTAGCGTTTAGGCACTTGCTACCCAAAACCCTTCTAGTTTAGCCGTGAGTGTTGTCTTGCGAACAGTTCAAGTGACCACTGGCCAGGAAAGCAGCGGAGCGGTCATCACCGGAAGTAACAGCGCGTTGGCCGATTCTCCGGGCCACGAATTCGTGTCCGATAGCATGAGGGTCTCGGACACGGACCTCGAAGAGGTCCGAGAAGGCATGAAAAAGCTCGGGATGCAACCACCTAAAGGTTAGTAATCGTTGGTCGTCGTTAACAACATATTAATACAAATGACGTCTGCATAGAATCTCCAAATGATTGAACATTTATTTATACTGCACTTTAGGATCAATGTCCTTAGTATTCTTCAAGGAATAGAAACGTTGACGTTGTTTCATTAAATATCCTGGGAATTTTAGGGTTCGAGTATGTGTGGAGTAATATGTTGCGTTAGGATGCGAAAATTAAGGTCGATTGCTAGTACTTGTGTTTTGTCAGTATTTGCAATTTGGGATTTTGGGAATTTGAAAATTTTGGAAAAATTTGGGAATTTGGGGATCTGTGGAATTTGGGGTTCTGGGGAATTTGGGGATCTGTGGAATTTGGAGATCTGTGGAATTTGTGGATTTGGGAAATTTGGAGATCTGTGAAATTTGAGGATCTGGGGAATTTTAGAGATCTAGGGATTTAGGAATCTCAAGATTTCGGAATTTAGGGATTTCGGCATCTAGGGATCTAGGGATTTTAGGATCTAAGTATTTTCGGATCCAGGGATTTTGGAATCTGGAATTTTTAGGATTTTGGGATCTAAGGATTTCGGGGCCTAAGGGTCTAGGGATTTTAGGATCTAGAGATTTTGGAATTTTGGAATCTAGGGATTTGGAGTCTAAGGATTTTAGGATTTAGGGACTTTGGAATCTGGGTTTTTTGGAATTTGGAGATTTTGAGAGCTAGGAATTTGGAGATTTTGGAATCTAAGGATTTGGGGATCTGGAGATCTAGTAAATATGGAATCTGTGTTTTTTGGGATTTAAGGACTTTGGGATCTAGGGATTTTGGAATCTAAGGATTTGGGGATCTAGAGATCTAGTAAATATGGAATCTGTGTTTTTTGGGATTTAAGGACTTTGGGATCTAGGGATTTTGGGATCTAGAAATTTTGGGATTTTGGAATCTAAGGATTTGGAGGTCTAGGGAATTTGGAATCTGGAGTTTCTGAGATTCAAGGATTTTTGAATCTAGGGATTTAAGGATTTAGTGGATTAGTGATTTATAGATTTATCTAGGAATTTTATTGATTTATTGATCTATGGGTTCAGAAATTTGAGGATCTGGGGAATTAGTGATTTATGGATTTATCGATCTAGGAATTTATGGATTCAGAAATTTAGAGATCTAGGGACTTAGGAATTTAGTAATTTGGAGATTTGAGGATTTAAAAATTTATCAATTTAAAAATTTGGGTATTTGAGAATTTGTAAATTTGTTGAACCAATAAATACTATCACCTGGAACTAAAAAATTGTAATATGTAATAATAGGAATTTTTAAAAAAATTCAGAAACGTGAAACTTTCACACTTCTATACAACTCAAAACCTTGTACTAGCAATCGATTCTATTTTTTGCGTCACAGCACAGCCCACCCTTCTACTCGAACCTAAAGGTGAATTCATACATCGACGGATGAAATAAAGCTTGAAACGACTATGAAACATACGACACATTTTATCATAATTTATCACCACTATAAAATAATCAGAATTAAACTGAATCGATACCACAAGAAAAAATATAAAAATAATTAATCAATGCTTTTCACTCGTAAAAATATCGAAGTCCGAGTACTTACAGTCGTTTCAAGCTCATTGTCAATCCACATTCGACCCGTCGCCGTATAAATGCACCCGAACTCCTGCCACGATTCCTTCTCAATTTACCAGCGAAAGTGGTAGGTATCGATAAGTTTTGCCAGCGAACGAAAGAGAAAAGACAGAAGGACTCTTGGCACGAGTACAACTGTGCAGTGTCCTCGATCGAATCGACCTCGAAAACAGCCCACGTGTGCACGCTGATTCGAAATTTTTCTGTACACACACCTCGACGATTAGCCACGAAGGCACTCGATATGTATTTCAAGAGACGTCCTTTTCGATGTTCAGTTACGACCACCAACAAATTATTATTCCGATTCGGAGGATACATTCTTGGATCAACCCCTTTTCTATTCTGTACTTACTTTCTCCCCTACAATTTTTATCTATTTCAATAAATATTAAACATTATATCTGTGATGTTGCAAATGTACTTGCTGGTTGTTGCATTTTAGTGTTGCAGTCTATGTTTATATAAACAATGTTCTATAACAATATTTTATAACAATGTTTTATAACAACGTTTTATAACAATGTTTTAAAATAATGTTTTATTACAATGTATTATAACAATGTTTTTATTAAAACAATTTATATATGTTACAATAATATTGTGTTACTTGCAATGGATTTGTTATATGATGTCATAGTTCAAATACATTTTGTCTTTTTCAATGACATTAAAATAAATATTTTTACAAAAATAAAATTGTTAAATGTACATTTTTTATCTGGAGTAATATTGCAAATGTATTAGCTGCTCACCTCAATGAATATTAAAATATATATTTATATAAAAAATCACTAAGTATGCATTTACACAAAAGAAGATAATAAAATATACATTTATTATGTAGAATCACATTGCAAGTATATTATAGTCTGTTTCAATGAAAATTATAAATAATTATACGAAAAGAAATTATTACATGATATTTATTATTTAAGTTGCATTATATGACATCTATTATCTTAATTACATTACATGATATTTATTATCTGAATTACATGACATGATATTTATTATCTGAATTACATGACATGATATTTATTATCTGAGTTGCATTATATGATATTTATTATCTGAATTACATGACATAATATTTATTACCTGAGTTGCATTATATGACATTTATTATCTGAATTACATTACATGATATTTATTATTTGAGTTGTACTATGACATCTATTATGTAAATTACATTACATATTATCTGGTTACATGTATTGTCAGTGACGTCATAAATGTCTTTGTTATGTTATTAAACATTGCAAATGATCATAAAAAAAAAATAGGTAGAAGGTCGTAAGTACAGATTGAGAAAAGGGGTTGCTCGAATAGAACGCTGAATATGCAGGGCACAAAGTGTCCGAAACACCGTCCCCCGTGAGTATACGTTAAAATCAACATAATCGTGTCACTCGATCTCTCTGTGTTCCACCTTCTCACCAGCGTTAGTCGTCTGCCACGTTTTTCTGTAGTTAGTGTACGTTTATGTGCGAGCTTTGTCCAAGTTCCTGTGTGCTTCAGTAGCGAGTTCCCGTTGCATATGTTCCCTGTTCTAACCTTCTCACAGGGTCGGCCTTCCAGGGACCTAGAAGACCTAAAAAAAAAGACCTAATAAAAAAAATTGCAAGAATGAAATGAAAAATAAAAGAAATACATTGATGACTTTTATTTTTTCTTTCGTTGCAACCCCTTTGGCCGACCCTGGTTTCTAATCGACTATAATGTCTCATGTGACTAAACGACCGCTTTCCATTCTATTCTGTCAACAGCCTAAAGAAGAGGAGAGAGTTTGCCCCCAATAAAAAGCATTATCCAAAAAGCACACCCCTCAAAAAAAAAATAAAATACGACAAGCTTCTTTCCCCGTCTCGAAGACCGACGTTGAGTTTTCGCTTCTCCTCGAACCCTCCCCCTTCTTTTCTTTTACGTTTTAGTCCATGTGTGGTCGACTAATCGCGGATACGACCCTCGTTACAACCCCTCGTTTCTCTCCTCTTTGATTCCAGATTTCCTTTGAACCCTCGTCTCGCGAACGATCGACCGGGGGTGGTTTTTCTCGACGGTTTTCGTTTATCGCGACGTTCCTTTCTTTCTAGCGTTCGAGGAAGATTGAGAGGGAGGAGAAGGCACGGGAGGGGTGAGGATTAGATGAATAAGTAACGCAGATCGTAAGCGGATACAGCGTTTAGGTTATACGTCGGATTTGAAGCGTGATATAAAAAGCGTAGACCCGATGATAGCGGCCATAGACGTACCGCGAGTTAGAGAGCAACACTTGGTGAAGGGAGAGAAAGAGAGAGAGCGAGTGCGAGAGAAAACGAGGACGCGTGTATGGGTGCGAATGGGAGCACACGGTTTTAAGAGAAGAACCGAAAAATTCTAGCAGAGAGTAAGAGAGAGAGCGAGAGATATTACAAAAGGAATAAAACTCGATTAAGTGTCTGTATGTCTGTCCGTTTGTCTGTTTGTCTGTCTGTCTTCGTTCTTAATCAATAAATATTGTCTCTTGTCGATTCTCTTCGTGTTTGTGCCGCGTTAAAAGGAGTACGCTAATTGAACATCACCATTTGGTCGAGTCGCGACAGGGGAGTTAGGGGCGAGTTTGCTGAAGAGAATCCACTAAGTGTTACATACATAAAGAATTAAGACAAAATAAAAGAAGTAACATATAAAAATTCGTTGAATGACAATACGTGTTTTAAAGAAATAAAAAAAAAAAAGTAAATAAAAATCGGGGATCGAGGTGTAACTTTCGTCTCGTCTCTCGTGGGTGTAGTCCTCGTAGTGATTTTCCTTCCGATTCAATTCAACTAAACGCATAATAACGACGAGTTTACCTTAACACGGCGAAATAAAAAAAAAAAGACACAGGAAATAAACGGCCGGCCAGAGGCGACCCGTTTACACGCCCGTCCACCCGAACGAGAACACGCGAAATCGCGGGGATAAAATGCGACGAGGCGACGATTATAGCGGGGATATGTACGTGCGAGAGATACATGGAAACGGGATTTCGAAAACATTGAACGAATTGAATGAGCTTTTCGGACGGACGATTTCAGCGATGTTTCAACCCTTTGCGGTCGTACTTTTTTAGCGAACATTTATTCGTTAATTGTATTTAAGGTTTTTTATAAGGACATTTGGAAATTTTTTGATTTTTGTATTTAGGGGATTTTGGGGAGAACTTGGAAACTTGAGAATTTGAGTGTTTTGGGAAAATTTGGGATATTGTAAGGTTAGGAAGTTTGAAATTTGGAGATTTGGGAATTTGGGGATTTGGGGATTTGGGGGTTTGAGAATTTAGGAATTTGGGGATTTGGGGGTTTGAGAATTTGGGAATTTGGGGATTTGGGGATTTGGGGATTTGAGACTTTAGGAATTTGGGAATTTGGAAACTAGAGAATTTGGGTATTTGGAAATTTGGAATCTAGGGAATTTGGGGATTTGGAAATTTGGAGACTAGGGAAATTGGGAATTTGGAAACTAAGGAATTTGGGGATTTGGAAATTTGGAGACTAGGGAAATTGGGAATTTGGAAACTAAGGAATTTGGGGATTTGGAAATTTGGAGACTAGGGAAATTGGGAATTTGGAAACTAAGGAATTTGGGGATTTGGAAATTTGGAGACTAGGGAAATTGGGAATTTGGAAACTAAGGAATTTGGGGATTTGGAAATTTGGAGACTAGGGAAATTGGGAATTTGGAAACTAAGGAATTTGGGGATTTGGAAATTTGGAGACTAGGGAAATTGGGAATTTGGAAACTAAGGAATTTGGGGATTTGGAAATTTGGAGACTAGGGAAATTGGGAATTTGGAAACTAAGGAATTTGGGGATTTGGAAATTTGGAGACTAGGGAAATTGGGAATTTGGAAACTAAGGAATTTGGGGATTTGGAAATTTGGAAACTAGGGAAATTGGGAATTTGGAAATTTGGGGATTTGGAAACTTGGAAACTAGGGAATTTGGGGATTTGGAAATTTGGAGACTAGGGAAATTGGGAATTTGGAAACTAAGGAATTTGGGGATTTGGAAATTTGGAAACTAGGGAAATTGGGAATTTGGAAATTTGGGGATTTGGAAATTTGGAAACTAAGGAAATTGGGAATTTGGAAATTTGGGGATTTGGAAACTAGGGAAATTGGGAATTTGGAAATTTGGGGATTTGAAAACTTGGAAACTAGGGAATTTGGGGATTTGGAAATTTGGGGGCTAGGGAATTTGGGGATTTGGAAATTGGAGGTTTAGAGAATTTGGGAATTTGGAGATTTGGGGTCTATGGAATTTGGGGATTTGGAAATTTGGAAACTAGGGAAATTGGGAATTTGGAAATTTGGGCATTTGGAAACTTGGAAACTAGGGAATTTGGGAATTTGGAAATTTGGGGGCTAGGGAATTTGGGGATTTGAAAATTGGGGATCTAGAGAATTTGGGAATTTGGAAATTTTGAAATTCCAGAATTTAGAGATTCAAAAATCTAAGAATTTGAAGATTTGGTAATTTGAAAAATTGCTAATTAGGGGATGAAAATTTAGAAGTTCCAAAATTTTGACTATTGCAAACTTACAACTTTAGAAACCTAGAAACCTAGAAATTTAAATATTCAAACACTCAAGAATTTCATTTCATATAAAAATCTCCCACTTTGTAAATTTAACGACATAAAATTTGAAACTCCCAGTTTGTAAATTCAGAACTACAGTAAAATACAAAAATTTATACATACTCCATCGAGCGCAAAGGGTTAAAAATAGGTCGTAGCACCGGTGCGATAAAAAAGGGGAGGGGGAAAAATAACAGAAAGAGAGAAAAAGAGTAAGGCAAATAGTAGAGAAAGTGAAAATAATAGAACGACGCCGACACGGAATGAAGAGTCTCGATATAGATAGGTGTTCGCTGGGCTATCGAACGTCGACTCGACATGGAGAGCGCATGTAAAGACGAATCGATATACGCAAGGGTTGTCGGAGGGAGAGGAGCGATGAACCACTAACGAAAAATTCGGTGCTCGCTTTTCGAGCCAGCCTCGAGCACGCGAAATAATTCATCGATCGAGAGATACGATAATGTGGTCCGCATTTAGGTGAAAACTTTCTGACGGGCAAATCCACGGAATTCGAGTTTGGTTTCCTCGGTTTAACGTAATCCTCGATCAACCAGATGTAATAACTTAAATCACCTTGCTGGAAAATAGGAATTCATCGATTCGGATGCTGTCTTTCGGTAATCTTGCTTTTCGTTCTATTTTCGCCGGTTTAGATATTGTATGGAATTTATCTTGATGTGATTCGATGTGGATGTTAGAAATAGCTTTGGCGAAGACGTAAATTTAACTCTTGTCTGATATAGTCGAGGACTCTTTTAACTTCTAATGATTTAATAAATATATTTCAGTTTATTCATTTTCTTTAATACTTTGGTACTTTGGTGATAAATATATTCTTAGAGATTATTGATATTTTTGAAACGTTACATTAAAAATATATTATAAGTACCTTTTATCGGAATTGTAAATGATAAAGTATTTATCAAGATTTGTTTGTGTACACATTTTAATAAAATACAGTTCTTCTATTTTATCTAGAGTCATACTTTATCAGAATAAGGGTTAAATTAACAATAAGACCCAACATGTCTTCTGAATGATCTGACACTATTCTATTTCCATAGAATCTGTATATCAATATCAAACAAGATATCAGAGTGATGGAGTCTTCTTCATAGAACATGAAGATCTAACTTGAACTTAATAATAAAATTGATGTTCACTAAGACCTAACCAAAAATGTCAAATATGACTGTTCGATGTGTAAGCTTTAGATTCGCAGACCAAGAATATTGAAAGAGATTGAAAAAGATCCAAGGGTCTCTCGTGTCAAACCAAGAACTATTATCGTGTCCCTGTTTCTATCAGAATATACCGGAAGTCCGTTAAAAACCTGAGGGAAGGGTGTATCAAACCGGAAAGGTTCCGTTTCCCTTTTCCCCGTGTGGTTTGAGTTTCCTTTGCCCCTTTTCCCTCCCTACTAACACTAACACAAAGACACGATTTAATTCCGACACTGGCACACGGAGACACGCGAGTCGCGAGATCAATGCGAAGAAATAGGGACGCCCCACAGTGGTCTGAATCGAGAAATTTAGTGACATTTTGATATAATTCCTATATCATTAAAGATATCGAATTAAAATTTGGAGTGAAGAATATTCATAAAACGTCGATTTTAATGATATATAATAAAATATATTTTGTTTATTTAATAACGTTGTTTTTGTTAATTTTAAAATTTATTTACAAATTTAGTACGTTTTTTTTTCAATTAAATACATTTAACTTAGTTGATACTATTCTTTTATTGGATGATAGAGTTGATTTAAATTAAAACTCACTATATTTATAATGAAAAAAAAAGTGGACCTGCGAACCACGTTTTATGGGAGAGTGAAGTCTCTTCCCTGTCACAATTCGGCACAGTCCAAGCACACGTACGAAATAGAAATAAAATATTGTTTTCATTTGTTGTTACTATTTACACAATTTTATTGTTTTCTATTTTCCTATATCCGTTTCCTATTAAGAGAACAAGTCTAGAATTATGTAACGCATGAATTTTTTAATCTATAAAAGTAAATTATTTATTCTTACCATTTCAGTTAACAGTTTTTACTTAATTATTAGTTCTTCAGCTTCTGAGTCCAGAGATTTAGGTTTTTTATTGTGACATTTAATTCGCCAAGATGATATATATGGATCAGAAGTTAGTAATAATTTGTGAAATATATCTTCGTTGGTAGCAATCCGTGAAATTTTTCGACTATTTTTGCATCTGTAATTTTTAAAGTCTTTATGTCTACTCTCCAGAGCTTCCTCAGACAATTGACCAATTGGTAATAATGCATGCTCGATGATTTCTTTCCCGTGCATTAATATTTTATGTACAGAAGCCGGCATAGGATACCAGCTATAATGACTTACAAAGTATTTCGCTGTATCGTAAGCATATTCTTCAAACTTCTGTACATTTATTTTGTAAGGCGATGAAATAACTTGTAGAATGACGTGAAATTTTTTAATTAACGTTTCATCTAATCCTGTTATGTTGGCCGAAAGTGCTGGATTTGCAAAAAATGTTCTTGCGGTATTTCCATCATTCGATGAACCCCACCCTTGTTTTACTACATCGACCAATAATCCTATTTTTTTTCGAAATTGTTGTTCCCCGGCGTGGTCGGAAAATCGCGACTACACACTCACACACACAAACAGAAAATAATACACACATATTGGCCGTACAAGACCCCGCGTGGCCCGCATGAAACTAGCTACAACGCTGCTTGTGAATCTCCGCAGAAGAAGATTGGGAACGCGAATTGGAAGCGGAGCTGAAGGATTACGAGGTTGTTGTAGCGGGCAACGAGAAGAGCGGCGTCGCGGCGACCACCAAAGACTCCGGCGTCGTCGGTTTGAATACGGAAGATTGGGAGAAGCAGATCGACGAGCTGCTGGCCAACGAGGATGACGAGGACCTCAAGTGAGCCGGGGAGATCCTCTTTGTGACCGGATATAGAGACGATCTCGTCGCGTTTCAATTGAGATCCTGGAGGGGACAGTGTGAGAGATCGGCGGACGGGTTCTTACGCTTTTCTTCCATCGATCTTCCGCCATTTTATAAAAAGCGCGGTCTTGAGATGGAGGATACGCTTTGTTGTGTACCTTTCTCTGTCCCTCTTTCATGATTAAAGGAATGCTGAAGAGGATATTGTTTTTTTTCGATCTTTCGATGAGGTTCAAGGTAGAATTGTGGAGGGAGAGAGAAAGGGGTGATTTGGTTGTTTCGATTGTTGTGATTTGAGGGGGAGAGTTGGTGTAACCAGGAACTAATTTTGGAGATGTACATCACGTGATAGTTTGATCGAATTGCATTGTGTGTTGAATACACAATCTTGGTGTTTCAACACGTGATGATATATTGTACACTGCAATGTGTGCTAAGCTAACTCATAAACCAAGTGGTAATCACGTGATAGCAGTTTAAAACCTCAAACAAAAATCCTAGTTGCATCAATGATCGCAAGATGGAAGGATAGCAGGTTGAAGAGGAAGAGTTCCTTTCCTTTTCTTCTGGTTTTTCTCAACAGCGTACATTAACGATCCTCGAGCACGATGAAGATGAGGGCTAAAGATACGGTATGAAATTATTTTTGATTGATGGATCTAGAACCTCCGTCGATTCCATCCATAGATGATCCATGGATCTCATGAACGGTGGACGGGTGTGCACACCAAACAAGATGATTATACTTAAACGCCACACTTATGTCAATTGTTAGACGACTCGCCTTTCATTACGATAACCGGGCGAACGTAAGATTTCTTTATGCATTTTCTCGTTTGTAATGATACTACCAGAAAAATAAAGAGATATAAATGTATTTGATAATGTTAAAATGCACTGTGCTGCGATATCCAATTATAAATTATATGAAATTATATTCTTCATCGGGTTCGACGGATCGAGAATTATTCAGAATCACACACTTTTACACTGCCGTGTGCCGAAGGACACCGTTTCGGATCGACGAGTTTGTTTTGTTGATTTATTCAAATGTTAAATTATAATTCGAAATACGATTTATTCGTCGATCGTGGATATTACAAGCCAAAGATTAACTCGATTCGATCATTATGCCTCCGCACTGTACGAAAGAAAGCGTTGGCAAAATATGTAGCTATCAATGCTGATACTAAAAGCATTTATTAATGTTGCGTGGCGAGAGTCTATATACCTTGTTCTTGCGTTAAATTCAATATTTGTTATGCGATGTTGAGTATTAACATTTGATGTCCACGTGAAAACAGAGATAAAGTGCATTTATGAATCAAGTATTTATAAAAGAAACTTCAAACATTCAATTATAACGCAGTTAACTTTCAGTCTGTGTTTTGAAACACATTCCATAAAGATGGCGATCTACAGGTCGAATCATTTAAAATTAAAATTCAGAGAAAAAGAAACAAGTTTGTTAATGTGATTTTCTGCGCTATACCGTCCTTTCTTGTGTCTTTCAATGAGACTAGTCAAAACAATTTCTGGACAAACAGAAAATCATAAAGGATAGCGCTATATAAGAATATTTTGCTCTAATCAAAGTATAGCTTCTTTTATCACGTGGACATCGCAATCGGCGAGAAACAGAAGCTTTGTTGCGAGTCGCAAGCGGAAGAAAATGAAGGCTGTAATTGGGAGAACGAAATCTTTGCACTTCCCGTCGAGACGTTCTTTTTGCGTGCGCCGCCATGTTGAGTACAGATCTTTCGTCAATTCTTCCCAGAGATTTTCTATATTCTCTCTTTATAGTGCATCGACTGACTGATTCGATGTACACTCAGGTGTAGGCTTCCTTTGGACAAGAACATGTATACAGGGAACCTTTCAAAATTTGCTTTCAATTTTGGGGAATATGGAAACTTGGGAATTTTTTAATTCTTAAGTTTTCTAATTTGCAAACCTACAAATTCTAAAGTATTCAATTTCCAAATGATTTCTAAATTCCCAAGTACTAAATTCTGAAACTTCTAAATCCCCAAATTCCCAAACCCCAAATATGCATTAAAATATTGGACCTTCCCTTATGTCGCAATTTTCCCCAAGGAAGCCTACAGTGGCCGCAACTGTACTCGTTAGCTTATAGAAATCCTCGAAAAGAGTAAAATAAACTAAGACTTAAAATTCTGAGCTCAACGCTGGTTCACCGGTGTGCGCGTGTTTCACCCAAACTCGGCTGCGAGGTTTTTTTCATTCGCGCTAGTCGTTAGGTCGATATATGGATACGTATACTGTATTAAATGTATATTAACATTAAGCTGTCGTGTAATTATCCGGGCCTAAGTTTGTCAAAGTTCCGAGCGAAGAAACATGTTGATCGAAGTGACACGACCCTCTCCCCGAGAGTACGTGAAGATTGCGATTTTTCGTTGAGACGATCTGTTGAACGTTATGCGTTGTATTCTATCGATTCCGTGTTGTTACATTGTATATTTTCTTGCGACGCGTTGATAGTCCGCGTTTTTGTGTCCTCTTGCCCCCCGACTGAGACGCGAGGAGAGCCCTTCATCTTTTGAATGGCCGACACGATGGATCAGGAAAGTAGAAATATACGTAAGACTTGATGAACGAACAAACGTCTTTCCCTGTGTAAAAAATTCGAAACACACACACGTACACACTTCAATGGCCAACTGAAAGAAGAAAAATAATTAATCATGGTGTACTTCGGCAATCCCTCTTATTTCAAAACATCTCTGTGAATTGTGTAATAAAATAAAAGCTATCCTACGGTACAGTGCATTCGCTCGTAAGAATGAACATACATCCAATACGTATATATATACGCATATATATATATACATAAATATACATAATATACATATGAAAATAAATAAATAAAAAATATATATATATGTTGTTGACTCCATTGAAAGTATGATAATATATTATGAATATTATTGAGAGTATAAGGAGATGAAGCATTAATTACGGAATTATTTAAGAGAATAATTAATATAAGTGCGGAATGTAAACAATAAAGGTCGTGTACCTCGTGAGAAATAAACTGACAACAAAAAATATCAAAAATAGCTTAATAAGTCTTAGTACCCGTCTATTCCTCCCGTATAATGCTTTTTATGTAAAGAATAAAATAAAGTATTGGCCTAAAGCATAAATCATAAACAGTTTGTTTTGTAACATCAGTAGTCATATTTATAGAGATGATTATTTGAATCAATATTTGCATTCTTATTACACAATTTCGTAGATCATTTTTAGATGCAGTCAATAAAACACAGAAGGTATTTTAAAAAATTACATATTTTAATTTGAAGTATATGACTGAGGAATACAAAAATACTGCTCCATTATTCTTATATATAAAATTAACTTTGTATTAGAAATATCACAAACATGTCCAGGTTAATAACATTACACACAGTAACATTATAGATGGCACTGTGATGATTTCTTCTTTTTTCTTCCTAATTTATGTTATAATTTAGCTTTAAGTGATACCTTTTATTTACACATTTCTTCGTCTACTCCTTAAAGTACGTGTTTTCGTCGAAGGGGTAATTATTACTGCACTCTGAAATGAAAAAAAAATATCACTAAATAAATGAAGTATTTTTTACGTAACATCCTAACCTATACTTCTTTTTGTAGAAGAAATATAGGTTAGGGATACAAGTATATAAAATTATTTCTGCCAGGTACAAAGTCATAAAATTACAGGAATCAAATTCTAAGAAATGAACCAACCATCAAAATATTAAAATTTGAATAAATTTACCTCAAGTGGTTCGATATCTTGAAAAGAATCATCTTTTATAAACAGCTTCTTCTTACGAGTAGTCTTCTTTTTTTCTGAAAGTGGTTCTACATCTGGCGGTGGTAAAAGGGCACGTTTTGTATTTCTTCTAAAACATAAGAATAGCATATTTCAGACTCTAATTTCAAATCAATCATGGTATATGATTTTTATATGATGTACTTGGAGTCGGAGCTTGAAAGATCGATCATTGATATATCATCCTGCTTCGGCGATGTCGGCGTATATTTTTTTGGTGGTCGCCTAGTCCGTCGTTCTTTGTGCACCACTTCATCCTCAGACGTGTTCCCACAATAATCTCTATCTTTAGAATGACTTTTTAATAACTAGAAAAATAAATATCGAATAAATTTCTTATTCAAAAAACTTTTTAATGAATGCATCTATAAGAACAAGTACCTTTTGTTTCTGTTTTTCCAATTCTTCTTGCTGGTTCTTCACTAAACATTCATATTTTATGACCATATCATCCCTGTTTTTCATAAACGACTCCATTTCACGTTCTTTTTCGAGCAAATTATTTTTTAACTCTTGATTCATGGTTCTTAATCTTTCATTTTCTGCCTGTCTTTCTTGAGCGCTTTGTTGTAAAAGATCTAAAATTTTAGCATTTTGTTCACTATTTTTAACGCGTAATTCTAACTCAGCGATATATTCTTGTTTTCGAGAAAGTTTCTCTTTTGCTTCTGTTAATTCTCTAATTGCATTCTTCATTTCCATTTCCATTAATTTATCACTTTTATCGTCATTTTCATTTCGTTGTATCAGTTGCTTCATTTCTGCATAAATATAAAAAAGTATGAAGATGAAGTATCTTGTACAAGAACAACAAATGTTTTACTGGACAAACCTCTTTGAAGCGCATTTATTTCTTCGTCTTTTTCGTTTTCTTTTTCCTGCGCGAATTCCAAACGTTCTTCAAGTTCTAGAAGTCTATCATTGTTCTCGTCCAACAATTTTTGTAAACTATCTTTCTCCGCTTGACATTTTTCTAAATTTTTGTTCAATTCATCAATTTGTTGTTTAAGCTCTGTTACGCTCTCAAGATCGTGTTCTAGTGCAACAATTTTCGCGGCGTGAACATCTAAACACTAAAATAAAATACGGACTAAAAATTTATCCATTTCATCAAAATATATAAAATATAAATTTTCTTACTTGTGATTTTAAATTAGTCTTCTCTATTGCAATAGAAAGATCTTTTTGTAAATTATTTATTGTTTGTTCATGTTCATTTTTACACTGCAAGATAATAAACAGATTAATTACATAGAAAATTGATATTTTTCTGAATACGAACCTTCTGGATATGAGAATCAAAATCTGTTTGTAGAGTATTCAATTTCTGTAAATATAAAAAATACCTCTGAAACCTGAAACGTAAAATATATTCAAGCAAACAAAAACAGCATACCTGTGCACATTGGTCATAGTCATTTCTAGCAACCGTAAGTTGCTGTTCAGTATCAGAAAGTCGTTGCTCATAATCATTAATTTTACTTTCCAAAGCTGCTTTCATATTATCCGTACTTTGTAATGTTTCTTTAATATGATTTTTATCTTCTTTCATGATCGAAAGCTCCTTCTGAAGCAATTCAATTGACTGCTTGTATTCTTCAATTACAATTTTATTTGTACGATTTTCTTCTGATAGCTCTTCTACTTTTTGTTTCAAAAGTATCATTTCATGACATGTTTCTTCTAATATCTAGAAAATATAATAAGTATGAATAATATGAAGATATGGAAAATAACTTATAATAATATTTTTTTACATACCCGACATTTTTCTTTGTACTCTGTTTTTACATCATCGTATTTTACCATTAATTTTGTTACTTCATTTAACGTAACATCTTTAATATCTTGATCATCTTCTTCTTCGGTGAGACTCGTCTGAACAGTTTCTTCCTTTATTACGTATTGAATTTCTTCCTTTATTACATCTTCAAGAGTTTGACTACTTTTATTGTGTGAATCGATATTAAGGGTATTTGTACATTGCTCTTCGGATTCTACGTGCACTTGGCAACCTATTTCTACAGTTTCTACGGCTACTTTATTTTGAACATCTTCGGGTTTGTACTTTATGTTACTAATTTGCAAATTGCGAATATGTTCGGATATATCTTTTAGCTTAACTTTAGCATGTTCCAATTCTTCTTTTAGATTCTGTATTTCACTCGAACTCTGAGTTAATTTCTTTTTTAGAGCTAAATTCTCTTCGTCTATCGCAATTATTCTTTCTTGCATCTGAGTATCCACTTTCTCATTTCCTATTGATTAATACTTAATTACTATCGATTAATAAAAATATAACACAGATATACATACCTGTTTTGGTATCCGTTTCAGTATTTTCGGGTGTATTATTTATTTTTTCTTTGACAGGAGAAGATGGCGGCAGCTTCTCTTTGTTGCAACAATCAGAAGGTTTTTCAGGTTCCTGTTAACAAGATATGGTATTATACTGGAAATAAATAAAAAGTTATATAATTTGAATATTTAAAGCAATAACATACTTCAATAACACAACTCAGATCTTTCACACTATTTGTAGTAAGAACTGTTTTCTTCAATAATTCAACTTCATCCAGCAACAATAACTTTTCATTTTCCAATTTGTCTATTTGTTCCTGCATAGATTGCACTTTATTTTCATCGTCCTTAATTTTCTTAGTTTGAACCTCCAATTGTTCTTCTAATATTTCTATTGTTTTGGTCTTTTCTGTTAAACAAATATTAATATCCGTGAGTTCTCCTTCTAATTCATCTATAGTCTCCTGCTTCTCAAACAGCTCTTCTTCCTGTTCTTTAATTATATATTCTTTTTCTCTCACTTCTGTAGTAATTGCAATATACTCTTCTTTTGCTTCATTTAAAAACACTTTCAATTTCTAAAACAACATGATTAATGACTCACACGTTCAAATGAATTATGCATTCAGTATAAGTACCTTAGTCTGTTCTTGTTTTGCAAACAATTGAGATTTTAATTCTTCGACCAAGCATTTTGTATCCTCGTCATAATTAACGTCCCGTTGGGCTGAATCCAGTAGATTCTTTGCGCTTTTTAAGTCTTCTTTCGTTAAGCCCAGTTCAAATGTTACTTTATTTTTTTCTACGGTTAATGCTTGATTTATTTCCTTGATCTCTTTCAAATTATTTTTCAGCAACACGATTTTCGATGTTAAACGTGAATTTTCTACTTCTAATTCGTTAATCTTTTTTTCGTCGTCGTCGGATTCATCGTCAGAATAAATTGAACGCTTTCTCTTGCGGCAACTCAACTGATCTAATTTCTGCTTGTAAAAATCTTCAACTTGTTTCACGGACCACTGAAGTGCATCTTCTTGTTGCTCTTCTACATCTTTTATGCGATTTCTAAATTGTGTTTAAACGTATATTAGTTATATGAAATAGCAAAGTTCAGAAACATGTGAGTCAAAAACGATACATACTTCCATTCCGTTTCGAGCTCTTTCATCATAGCGGTGTAAGTATCAGCCATTTCTTGACGTATTTGTAAATCGCGAGTTAACGCAGAACTCTTTAACGAAGCAATCTCTTTCTTCAGTTTTTCATTTTCGCACAATAACTCTTCGTACTCTTCAGTGTGAACGTAATGACTTCTACTTTCGTCTTCATCAACATTTTGGCAATCTACTAAACAAATATGTGTAAATATAAAGTTAATAGTTGTATCATAATTATGTACATACCCTCATTTTTAGTTAACATTAGATCTATATCATCCCAGTCAGTTACTGTTTTTATACTTTGTCCAACAATTTGTGAAAATCTTGACTTATTCTTTTTCTGTTGTTCCTTCTTTTGCTCTATAACTATTTTTTTCGCGATAGCGGAAAAATTGAGAACATTCTGCGTTTCAATATATAAGTTGGGTATGGGGTTGATATTTACTATCAGAGCTATTTGCTCTTTTCCAGATAGTGCTTTTTGAAATAACCTGGTCAACTTTGATTCTCTAAATGGACCAATGTGTTCTAGTTTCTGTTTGGATACTTGTCCTTCATGAATTGTTTTTAAACATCTTCCTAAAACTAGCAAGCTTGTATTGATATTCTGAGCTTCTTTTAGTCTTTCTCCAATATTTAATGTTTTCTTCAGTCTCTCTGAACCAGCAAGATCACAAAATGCAAACCTAATATCAAAACAGAAGTCATAAAATAATAGAACAAGAAAAGTATGAAAGTCACATGAAAAATATGATCTACATACGTGCTAACTTCAACAGAGTTAGGATCATTCTCAACATAATATTTCAGTAATTTGATAGTGAATATGCAATGTGATCTGGAGCTTCTAGCATTTAGGGCAGTTGCAGCTACTTTTAAATTATACTGGCCAGCCATTAGAACTTGATATGCTTCAGATCCAGAATTCACACAAACAGTCTTTAAACCTTTTATGAATGCTCTTCCCTGAGAGTCTGTTGCTAGTTTAAGAGCTGTTCTCTTTTTCTGACATTCATTGGATAGAAGATCATATACAATTTCATTGTAGATTTCAGCAAAGGAAACCCAAACAGAATAATGTGCATCAATGCATTGACTAGGTCGAATTGGAGATTCTTCTTGCAATAATTTTTGCATCTCTTTGTAAGCATTGATGTATTGATGCTTATCTACTGAAGCAAATGTTAACAATTTGGTTTTTATTTCTAATTCTTGAGCACGCTCAATGGGGCTCAAAGTAACAACATCACAATGATTCACTGGCTTATAAGAAGGAATGGATTTTGGAGTAATGTTAGAAAAAACAAATTCTAAGCATCTTGGTATAATTCCAGGTGAGGTAGTAGTCCCTTGTAAAGTATAAGATTTTCCTGAATTTGTTGTACCTGTAAAGTAATAGTGTACTGTAGATTATATCCATTAATTTAATTCAAAACAAATTTAATTCATAGCATATTCAGTTCTTTACCATATGTCATAATGGTAGAATTTTGCCCAGCTAAAAAATCTACCATATGTTGTTTCACAGCTTCCTCAAATAATTCTAGTTGAGTAGTTTCTGGTCCAAATGTTCTAGTGAATGTAAATTTCCTACACACAATATCTGTACTATTGGATCTCTTGACACAACTGCTGTTATTATCTAAAGTAGGTAATCTTGTGAATAAAGTGGTTGAATTGATAATTTTATAAGCATTCGTTTGCTCTTCTGTTAACTTTAATTTCTTGGGAAATGGTTTCAATCGTAAATATACTTTGGCAGTTTGAAAGGTTTGAGGTTCCAAACCAAACATTCCATTTTCACTGCCATAATTACTTTCTTCAATTTCATAAGAAGACAGCAAATTCTTTTTTGTGTCTTTTGATACAAAAGGTCTTTGTCCATAAGCTAATATACTAGGATCTCTAGCAAATAGATATGACACCTCTTCTTGTGGATTATGATTGTCAGAAGGTCTAATAGAATCTAATGTATTATTCATCTAAAAATTGTTTACAATGTTAAATTTCAATAAGTTATGTTATATTTAACAAACAATGAAAATTTAGTTTTATTCATACCTTAACATTAAGAAGTTCTTCAAATAAAAATCTCAAATTAATTAACTATTACATGAAAAATAAAATATTTCTACGAGTTATTCAACAAATATTTTCTTAAAAATCGCAGGACAAGACGTCACAGTTGAAACTGTTATTTATTATTACATGCTCCTAAAAATAAAAACTGTTTTTGAATGTTGAACTCAGATTAAGAAATAAATTAACCTTGTTGATGTCTGAAACACATACCTTATCTTTTTAAGTTTACTAAACGCTTATACAAACTATAAACTACATGCAAATCTTGAGAAATAAATCAAAATACATAAACACACGCATTTCTTTCTCGAGTAGCCCAACGGCAAACGGTTAGTATTTTATTTTGAAATTCTACAGCAAAATGCTTTGTATGGATTGGTGGAGCATTTAGTGAATTATATTGTTACCGCGCTTGAATCTAACCAATGAAGATCAAAATGCACCTTCAAAGGCCAATAAAAGACGACAAGCAGTGATAAACGCTAATTCCCTAGGGAAACACAATTCCCTATATATAATTTCAAAAATAAGAATCCAATTTGCCATACAATTTTTATTATAAATGATAAAATTAAATTTGTCCACGCTGCCTACATTGGTAAGTACCTGAATATACTTTTTATTCATAAAACTCACAATATTTATGCTAACTAAAATTACAATAATTTTATTTACTTATATTGAAACATAACTTTTAATAAATACTACAATGATATTATTAAAATAAATCTTTATTACATTCATCATTCATATCAGTATTTACAGATCTCAAGTTAAACATATATATACATGTAACAGAGTTAGTATTCTTCTGTTACATTCACATGTAATTAGAGTTCATAATCATTTTGGAATAAAAATTATTCCATCTTTTAATATTAAAAAAAAACCAATCCAAAATTATTAATAAATTACTTAAATAAACAGTATTAGGAAGAAATTTGATTATGTAACATGGCTATGAATGGTAAAATATTAAAAAATAACATTCAATTAGAAAAAAATATTGAGATAAATATATACTTAACATTTTGTTAGTATAGAAAGATTAACGTGAGCTCGTAAGTCTTTCGTCGCACCTATGAAATATCTTCACACACCATTATTGACTTTTGTATCACGTTTCATGTTACATATAAAAAGGAAAAGTGGTCCTGTTCCTATCCACCTTGGAGTATTTAAACATAAATTAAAACGAATCATAAATTAAATTGAATCGTTCTTTCTAAAATACATCCAGTCAGTTTTTTACAACTTCTATGCCTTATGCGTATTTTAATACTCTCAGTCCCATTTTTCGTTCGCACCGTTTTACACTTATGAACAGAGAGAGCGACGTTTAGAAATATTTTCAATCTAATTCTCATTATTACGCACCCATGATCATAGACTTTATTCAGGTGGAGATATTAATTAGCAAGTTTTTAAACTAATAAAATAATCGTAATGTCAAGACTCATGATTCAAAATGTCTTTCAAGTCATCCGGTAATGTATGAGTAATGTCGTCTATTCTTTCCTGAAGTTTTTCTCTCACGGAATTACCTATAGGTACTTCATCAATATAAGTTTTTTCTAATTTTTGCCGAATTCTAAGAATCATATCTACCAGCTCGACCTCTTGCTTTCCTTGCACCCAGGTCTTCAGGTCCTGTAATAACTATAGTCAATTACAAGAATCTAATCGTTAAAATAAAAGTTGAAACGTTTTATCTCAAATGTACCGCTTGCGATAATGCTTCGAGTTGTATAACTTGTAACTTTTGTGATAACTCGGTATATCTAGTGTGAAACCACCCGGAAAAGTTGGGAGATCGAAAAAATCTCCTGTACAATCCAACCCAATCTCCTTTTATGCCGGTAGTTAGTTGTGGTCCGGCGCTACTTAAAGTTGCCAAAAAATCATCTGGATTAAATAACTCAGGTATGGGCGTAGCCTGAAATAAATATAATTCACGCATTATTATTTAAACTCTCCAGCAAATAAAGTACAGGAAATAAAAATTACTTTAAAAGGTGATATGTCTTTTTGTAGTGGCATAAGAGTTGCAATGTATCTTTCAAGTGGTATCATAAAACTTTCAGTAAGTTCAATTAAATGACGTTTTAGAAGGGCTGTTTGCACTGCACCCGGTCGTTTTGTCTGGATTCCCCTAAATAACTTTTTCAATATAGTTTTATCTTTTTGAAGGAAAGGTTTATATTGTGTGTACACTCCCGGTTTTGAATCTAGCACCTTGAGATTCTCTGATTTTTTTATTTTGTACCTTTGATTTTCTAAAACATACAAGAAACTTGAACATTCTACTTGTACATTATTTTATAAAACTTACCATTGTTAGTTCCATTGCTTATCCTTATAATATGAGGCCAATGCTGCAGCGTTTTAGCGAAAAATGGATTAGTTACACCTAATATTACAGCAGGAGGTGATGGAGCATCTGTAGTGTATTCTTTGAACTCAGAATCATGAATTGTAAAATAAGGTCGATGGTCAGCACAATATTTTAATGGCGCTATCAGTCTGCAAACAATTCAATTTCATAATTTATATGCTGCAATTATGTGTCGACTACTTATGTGATATAATATACTTACGCGATGAGTGCTTGAACCATTTCAGAGCAACCAGTAGGTGAACCAGCCATAACAACTATTGGTTCACTAAGTAATACTAATTCCCATAATAAATGTACATAATTTACAACACTAGCTAAACTTCTAAACATATCTCCTTCATAGGCAGACGTTAAAATTAGTCGAGTCGCGTTAAAATTTGGCGCATAATCCATGGCAGCAATTGTGGGCGCAGTTGCTTTATAATTTTGATTTGGGATATATGTCTACAATATAGATGACAAAAACTAATTAGTTTTCAAACTAATCAGAGATAAAGTGTATTTTTACCTGAAATAAAACACCCATAAGTGGTAAATGCACTGTTTGACCAGGTACTGGTGGTGGCCATTGGTCAATTTCTCTTACGATGGCTTCCATAACTGCATTACCCATTTCGAAAAACTCAGGTGCAATTAAAGCGCACAATTCGCCAAAGAGATTCACGAATGGCAGTTTTGTAATAATAACAATACTCTATAATATAAATAAAGTACATCAGAATATTGAATGTATAACTGTATTACTTTATTATACAAAGTAAACCTTTTGAAAATATCCTCTTGGAAGAGACTTGTCTTTCACTTGACGAAAGTATACATAGCCCCAATAATAATCTTTGTCACACTGTAAAAACGGTGGTGATCTTCTATCATATTCCTTCAAAGCTGTAGTGTCTTGAATTGCAGCTCCATTCTGTCTTATTCTAACATGATATTGTGTATCTCCCATACAGCCAGAGTTAGAATCAGGGAAAGCAAGATAACAGACATTAGACCTCTCTTGTTCAGATAGTTTGATATGAGGTGGATATATAGCCTAGACAGTGAAAAAATATATAATAAGAAGTAAAAATATTTCTCTATGCAAATGATATATCACAGACAGAATGTTAAATGTAAAAAAATGTACCTCTATAGCTTGACCTAATTCAAGATCAAAAGTAACAATGCATATACAATGTACCCAATTATGAAAACGTTCCCATTTTTCATGTATCACCTCTCCTTTACTATTCACAGTATCCATTCTATTTACTTTTGAACAGGAAGCAACTGACATTTTATTAGGATTTTGTTCTATCGCAACCATGTACACATATTAAAGAACATGTTTCAAGAACTGTCATTTAATTCATAAATTAATATATTAAAATAGCTTCTAAAAAGGAATATCAGTTTCTGAAAAGTAATCATAAACATGTTAATTTATATTATTAAATTATGCATATTAATTTATAACATTTAATATTTTGTATACTTACAGCTTTGTTTAAGGTACGCATTATTCTGTGCTTCTGGATTAAATTATCTTCTAAGAAGCTTTCTTATCACTTTTAATAATCTCATTATTTTTAATATCAATGTATTTATATTTTTACCCTGTTCAACAATATTTAATAGCATGTAATCCACATTTGCTACTACTGTTTAATAAGGGCAGAGTGTCAGGGAAATGTGTTAATTAAAGAATCAAAGAACTCAAGTATCAAAAACATGAGGGACATAACACATATGTTTATCTCATTATTATTTACTATTTGCATACAACTGTTAATATGCCCACGTGTTTTGTGTTTCTTGATAATAATAATCTGCCAAACATGTCAATTCGATATTCGAAACAACGTTGCATAAAGGAAAATGTTCGTGGACAATGTTTACACCAGTATATTTTTGCACCAACAGCAACTGCATAAGTTCGTGTTCAAACAAACACAAATCGTTTAGTTGCGCTTTATTGGAGAAAGTCTTCATAATGCTTATGTGTCTCACACAATGATTATAACCTACCAAATCAAATGTATGCGTGTTTTGAGAACTTCGAGTTATCTGATCACATTAATTCAATAAAACGTCGGATTTAAGATACACTGATTTTATCATTAATGAAATCTGCATGATTTTGCCTTGCAAGTTATTCAAGGCAGATTTCCTACTACCTTGCGCTTAAAACATTGAACCATAGCGGTACTGGCGCTCCATTCACTTGAATTATAAAGGACAATAGTAAAGAGCAACCGATTCTGAAAGTGAACAACAAAGGAAAATTTATTCCTGATAGTGATTTCTAATTAAAAACATAATTATATACCTTAAAATTCATGGAAAGTGACGAAAAACATGAGTACATAAATACAACAATGCAATTAACTTTACAAATTCCCATATCTATATTTTCTTATTCCATTACTTCTAATCATCTTATTTTAATTAAAATGGCATAAAAAGTTGGATTATTGTAAGAAATTAATTTATCAAATTAAGTCAAAAGCTTACATATCTTTATATCAACGCGCGTTATAGAAATAACACGGAGGGCGCATTCTAGCGATGGATTCTAAAACTTTAGAACTTGTAATTTTAGGATTTTTGGATTTTGGAATTTTAGGTCTTTGGAATTCTAAAACTTTGAAGAATAATTGCAAATGCATGAAGCATAAAAAATGGTCATTTTTGAAAGTGGGTTTCAGTCCATAAAATTTTAAGAAGTCCTAATATACCATAATGTTTTACCCCGCACAAGTTTTGAGTTGGACGCCAAATATGTTTTCGTTAGCTTCAATTGGAATATTATTATCCGTAATCATTTTGCTTTAATTGTTATTAAGAATGGAAGGACTATTCAATTGCAAAGTTCAAGCTTCGAAGTATAAAGTAAAATTTATAAGCATGTAATAGAATGAAGAAATACGCCCCTGAGTACACGATTGCGCGCGTGCTTAATCTTGGCGGCTGTCACGTTCTGTCAAGTCTGGTCGTCAGCCTATGCTCATCAGCCATCCTGTATATAACTGTAAAAAGTATCAATTTGAACTATTAAGTATCTCTCGGTGTGGTTCCGAGCTATTATAAAAAACTTGGGCTTGCAATCGTGATCAAACATGTACCGTATCTTTCCCGATCTAACAACTGATACGGGTGTGTCTATGCGCGTGTTCCGATACGTGACCAAGTATGTCAATCAGTTTGTAAAAGTGCGAGTGTCCCGTAACCGTAGCAAGCATTAAATTACCAATAGTTAGAAGTTTCCTAACGATGTCAGCTGACATCCTGCAGGATAAGAATGTGGCCTTGAATGGCAAGAATGACGTACCGGTCGTCTCGCAGCCCACTATCAGGAGTGGACTTAGAGTTTATAAGATCGTTGTTTTGGGTGATGGTGGTGTTGGTAAATCAGGTATTACAATTTTTATTGTGTTCTTCAGATATCTATTAATCTACATATTATGCATATATAGCAAAACATATTTTTCAGCTGTCACTCTACAATTTGTCAGTCATAGCTTTCTCGATTACCATGACCCAACTATAGGTAAGAGTTGGTTTTGTGTAGTATACCTCAATCTATACCTGTGTTTGGAAACATTTCTTTCTTAGCGTCTCTTAGCTTTCAGGGTAATATACAATTTAATTTTCTTTGTCGTTAACAGAGGATTCGTATCAACAACAAGCAGTTATAGATGGCGAAGCTGCACTCTTAGATATATTGGATACTGCTGGACAGGTCAGAACCAATTGCTATAGATAGACTATGGATGTTTATAACTGTGGATGTTTATGTTTTTATGATACGTCTTATATCTTTTGTATATAGGTGGAATTCACAGCTATGCGTGATCAGTATATGAGATGCGGAGAGGGTTTTATGATATGTTATTCTGTAACTGATAGGCATAGCTTTCAGGAAGCTTTGGAATATAGAAAATTAATAACACGAGTAAGAGCCAATGAAGATATACCATTGGTATTAGTTGGCAACAAATTTGATTTGCAACATCAAAGAAAGGTAGAATGTTAGACTTTATATGCTTAAGACATATTTGATCTTGTTTATATAATAATTATACTATAGGTAACCACGGAGGAAGGGAAAGCACTTGCTGATCAGCTTGGTTGTCCATTTTATGAAACATCTGCTGCACTTAGGCAATTCATAGATGATGCATTTTATTCATTAGTTAGACAAATTCGAGCTAAAGAGAGATCACGAAATTCAGTCCGTAAACACAGTCGTTGGTGGCGACTTCGTTCGATTTTCGCCTTTATTTTTAGAAGAAAGCAAAGACACATGAATAATCATCACTATTCTCCTTGAATGTAGCCATTTTGAAAATATCTTTTTGATAGCATAATTTTTAATTGATCTAATATGGCAGCATAAACAGTTTGGAGTTCTATAGATTACAACGAACAAAATTTTCAATGATTTTTTATATTTTATGGTAGTCCTCCTGTTTAGGGACTAATTCACTAACATCTCACTGCCTTATCTTTAACCCCATTATATTTTGAACATAGCAATGAATATATAAAATGTAGATCATATTCATGATCTTTTACTGTAGACAGTGCAACATAACTGGAATATTTGTTGCTCAGAAAGAGGAATCATAAAGTAATATACATACTAAAATCAAGATCTGTTTTTAGGAACAATAATATTTAATATGACAGTAATAGTATTCTCATTGCCTCCAGATATATTTTCTCCATTATTATTTATTAAAAAGGCTGTTGATATTATTTATAGTATATTTTAATGAGTAGAGTATTTAAAAATTAGAATTGAATGCCTAATTCTCATAGAAGTAGTTTATTTATATTTTGTTTAAATTAACATCTTATATCATCTCCTAGACATAATTAAAGTTTTGATTACTCTATTACAATTATTATGTTATAAGACCAAAGAATATACTGTTTAATATTTAATGAAGTATTGAGCAAAGAATTTATAAATGCACACGATTTTGCAAATGTGGGATGAAAAGTTTTATAATACTAATTGTTATAATTGTCCTAATTAATCATATGAAGTTAAAAGTTAAAATTTAATTATGCCAATTTCATTTTTTGCAAAAATAAGTATTATAAATGATTTTATAAGAAATCAGAAATGAATCATTATAAAGTATATGAAAGTTATACTGATTTGTAAAGTTTACAAATGTTACATATTTGAAAATCGCACAAAGTAAAGAATATAAACAAATATTTTGCAAAACTTTTGCAATCGAAAGAAAAGATATTTCTAATAAATATATTTTTATGTTTAGTAATCAAACAAATAATACTTTCATTTAGTGTCGTATTTTTAAAATGGCTCCTAAACAAAATCGAATTTTTAAAATTAAAATACAACGTACAACAGATAGATTATATTTTTACGATTTTTAATATTTGTTGTTTTTTGAAATTTTTAACTATGTATTTTTAACGCGCAGCTTCTGAATACGTGATTTCGTTTTTAGAATAGAGAAAACCTATATAATTATAGATAAATTAAGTTTGATTATATATTAATAGAAAGATACTTTAAACAATTGCCAGATATTAAAAGAAATCTATAATGGCAAGTAGTCATCGTATAAAACAAAAACTGGTTAAACGTAAGTTTAAACGTCTAGTCGTTACTTAATGTTTCCTAGTCAAACTTTGCATTTTGTTACACATAGAATGATTTACAGTTTACACGTGCAGTTATAAATTTTTGATTAAACACGCTTTAATGAAATCGTTTATGTTTAATCATATCATAGACATATTTACACATGTTAGTATTATAATTGTTATAACATTTTATAAATAGTTTACTACTGAGAAATTTTGATAATTAACGTTTAATCCATCACTAGCGAACGTAACAATCAAGACTACTTTATTTTTTAGAATAACTATAAAGTATTGTTATCAACAATGATAATAATTTGCATAATATGTCAAGATAGCTTTGTACCTATACAGTAAAAAGTATTAATAAATATAAACGACTTGTATGTAATTATCGAATATGTAATGATATAAAGCCTGTACATGTATTATGTAAAATGTGTTTAAATGTGAAAAGAACTGTAGGTGCTTTGTTTATAGAATATCATCATACGATTTTTATTTTATATTTTTCAAGTCGATGTAAAGCATACATATATCCCCAAACTATAAGAAAAATAAAAACAGAAATGTGATGAGATTTAATATATATTGATATAAAAATAAAATTAAAAAAAGATACACATTTTACGGTGACAATACAATATTATACAAACGTAATATACATGCTCGTTTCAATATTGAGCAATAAATTTGATATCATTGGAATAAATTCATATATAAATTGTAAATGTAAGTCACTAATTGGAAACAAGAATACATAAATGACAAACGTATTCAAAATACATGATCTGATTTACAATTATATCGTTTTGTAATATTAGTCTCTATTAAGCATTGTGTATTTACAATTTCATACCTTGACTAAACAGTAAAATATCGTATATGCGATGTTTTATTAAGGATAGATTCATAATATATTAATTATTATATAAAAATGATTTCTGTTTATTCATAGAGTAAATACAAAATAGAAGAATAAAAAACATTCATTTTAAGTAAATATGATTATTTATCCCATTCATAACAATTACATAATCTATATAGTAATAAAATTGATTGGTCTTAATAAAATTTTTAAAGAAATTTAATATTTTTATCAAGAAAGAAATAGCAAATAATTTCCATATAAATATTATAAATAACTGTAACAATTATACATTGAGTGAAGCATTGAAAATAATTTTTGTTCTAAGAAACATTATCATTCAATATATTTAATAAATGTTTGACACATATTTATTAGTTACTGCAAGAGACATATTATTTATTATCAGTCTGCACTGAATTATGTTTTCATTCGTAGAGCCTGAAAGTTTCTTTTAGATTGGCATCTGTAGATCCTGTATTCTCTTGTTTATTGCTTCCTAAATGAACATTATCAAAGTGGAATTATTTTAACTTTAAAGTAAATCACACACATTTATGAATGAAACTCGTGACCAACAAAAATTAACTTATAGTTACCACAGATTTTTAAATTATGATGTATAATTACCGTTTTTATCTTCTTCTTCTAATTCTGGATTGTTCAACATTGTGCCTTCATTGGAAGCATTATTTGTTGGATCTTTTGGATTTGTCTCAACTGAAAGTCATGTAATCTAAATTACTACTCTAAAATAAAACAGTAAAAGCGTATGTTTCTGAAAGATTTTAATTTCAGTTTAGCGTACAAATTAACCATTGTTAACACTTTAGTACTCTTGGAATTAGTACAGCCTTCACCAATTAGTAATCCATTTGTATTATGGACAAATATATATTATCTATTTTAATTCCAGATCCATTAAATAACAAGTAAAATATTTGAGTTACAATGTTCTTTCATTCTAAATTTCATGTACATACTTATATTATAGATAAAAATTGCTTGTCAATATTTGATTTATCGCTATTAGTAAACCATGTTTTTTATACCAATAAACAATGCAATATACTTAATAAGCAGGTCAACTGTTTCATATTACAAATCTAGCAATAAATGCATAAAAAATATGATGACTATGTACAGAATTGTTTAGTGCTGCTCTATTTGTGTGGCAATCTTCTTTTCTCCTGTGACAGGAGAAAAGTATCACTACCTTTCAGCATTGTAACTGAGACGCGAGGACTTAGGCGCACAGCACCAGGTGGATCTTTTGGAAGAATTGGAATTCCATGATATTTCAAACCACGCTGACCAGCTAAGCTTATTCTTACAGCTGACTCCGGAACAGGACCCAACTGAGATTTGTTAATTACTGGTCTTGCAGCTAAATTGGCAAATTGCCAGAATATCACATAATACTAAATCAATTGGTGATACAAAATATAGTGAAAGAAATTGGATATTGCACTACTATTTCTATCTGTTCCCCAAACATGTTAGAATTATATGCAAAATTATTATTCAAAAAGCTGCTACAATTTATATAATTTTCAATTATTCTTATTAATTTGTAAATACAGCCTCAAAATAAATAATTCAAACAAACAGTACTATTTAATATATTCAACTTTTTATTTCTAAATTTTTTTTATTTATGTGTATAAAAATATAAAATAAATTAAATATAAAAAAGTATTTAAAGTGTTTTAACTTACGCTGAGAAATGTTGGCAACTTTCTTTGGAGGAGTTGTACCGCAGTTAAGTTTAGCTTTATTGAGATCATCCTTTATCTACAAAAGATTTTAATAAATAAGATTTGTTAATTAAGTTATAAATAATAAAATTTTATTTCTGATACTAATTGTATACCTGCTCTATTTCTTCCTGTAACTTTTTATTTTCATCTCTTGTTGTAACTAGCTGCGTTTTAAAATTATTTTTTTCTAGTCTTAAAGTCTCTATTGTCACGTTTTTACCAGCATCTAACTTTTTTAATGAATCCAGTTCACCTTTACAAAGATTATTATAGTACTCTAATTCCTCATTCTTTTTCTTTGAATATTCCTGCTGTTCCAAACGCACATGAAGAGATGCCACCTCACCTTCTGCATGTTTAAATCTTTCTTCTAAATTCCCACGTAATGTAACACACTGATCTCTTTCTTCGCCACTAGAAAATGTTTGTACACATATTTAATACAATAACATTGTTAATATTTTCCACCTTAAAAGTGGTAATGTATTTAATACATAAACTTTAAAACAAGTTTATTACAAACTGCATGTTGTTTATTATCAAAGTATTTAACATAGTATATTAATTCACACAAATACAATGTTATAATAATACCTGATTTTAAGTTGTTCATTTAATTCATCGATTTGTCTAACTAATTCAATATTTTCAGAAGATAAAGTCCACCAGTTGCAAATAAGCATTAAACAAGCGACGAGAAGTCCTCCAACAAGGAGGGGAGGACATCGGCCTCCTCCGACTCTCATACTGTCAATTCCCATTCCTTATTTATTGCACCCTGTTTAATAGACACACATGTGTATTGTTAATTCACATGTGCATGAAAAATCAATTCCTCACCGAGTGTCACTCTTATTTTATTCGAAAAACAAAATGCCAAAGTAAACAATTTTATCAGCTGTCACGGTACATCACGTGAAGTAATTTTTCCAACAGAAATATCACTCTTTTAACCTCTTTTCAATACGTATACAAGTTTCTTCGATATAATTTTCACAAAATCTAACTGAAACAAAATGCACTTAACGCGCGTGGGCGTATTCTAGTATACACTACCGGTATTGACACCAGTACGTAGACATTTTATCGCGGAAAATACTAAATAGCATTGTATTCAGATATATCACGGCTCTTTACACACATCGAAAGATCTAATCTATATGTGGATAATCATGATACCGGTGTTAAGAATGACAAAGTCAACGCGGTACATTCATAGTGCTGCAATAAGCAATAGTGACGACTGGTGACGAGTAACCGCAGCAATCACATACGCGCATTATGATGTATATATCTATGTACATACAATGTATATAGATGATAGGACCACATGCACACTTCATATATGCATGTACACGGAGGACACGTATTCATTAATGACAAGCTGTAGGCTATCAAGCGCATGGAAACGGATACGACTGCTACAGGATACTGCGTTCTTTACCTTATATTATTTACGACAAGAATGCACCCTGCATCTGATGGGAAGATTCGTTTACGATGATATCGAGTACGTTTTGCATGAACATTATTTATTTCTGTTTCGTAAACGACGTACGAAAGTATTGTACAAATATTAAGCACCTTCGGTAATTATCAGTTAAGAATAACATGCATTATTTAAAGTCAAAGATAACGAAATCTTTTTTTGTTCGACGTAATTTCGATTCAACTTGATGCGATTGAATTTGAGGAGGTCCAATTCGGTGCGTTTGAATTCGTAAAAGAAAAGAAAAATTGTGACCACGAAAGGCACAGCGAAACGTTGTGTATGTACAATTCTGGGTACTAATGGAAAATGTCTAGTTGCAAGGACACCGCGTACGAAGAGCCATGTATAAGTTTACATACATTTATTCTGTTTCTCTTTGTTACATATAATATATATGTTTAGTTAACCCTACCATTGAAGAGAATCTATAGTTGAATAGAGTGAAAAATAGCGCGATCACGTAATGAACTCAAACGCCAAGAGACATTGCACTTAGAGATCCTCGACGTTCAAATCCATCATTCGTAACACGATTCACTGAAAGATATACTGGTTCAAGAAACGGGCGAAACTATTTTCAACTAATTCGTATGAGATAACGCAAAAAGACCGTACAAGCATTCAAGTCGTGTCAAAATTTCCGTAGCTGTAACATACATCCTTCGGTACAATTTTTTTTAAATACACGACTGAAAATAGCTGTCAACGCTCTCTATCACCATTTCTCCGATATACGTCTTCGAAATAAGAATATTCAAACCCTATACGAACCAGTCAATTCTCGATTCTCTTTTATTATCTGATCACGCTTTAATTGTACGCATCTTTACCATAATCGTTAGGCATTACTGTCCATCCTCATTCAGTGACTTTGCCTGTACGCGTGAACGAAAAATAAAATATATGATAAATGTAATATGTGCTCTCCGGACATTCCATTCGGCACCTGAATATATGTCTGTGTATGTGTGTGTGTGTGTTACAGGGTGTCCCGCGTAGGTGGACAATAGTTTTAATCTACAAGATGGCGGAACAGAAATTATGCAAAATGGAGAAATGGAAAAGGTTTTCTAAGATTTCTAGAACCTTCTTATGATTTCTAGAAGACTTTCTGGTATTTTTTAATTGCTCTTGAACTTCTTTAGGATTTTCCTAGATTTTAAGACCAAAATCAGGTATATAGTAGAATCAATATTTTTAATATAATGTAAAATGGAGTGTAATGTAATTTTTTTAATTTTCTAATGGAATTTTTTTAAGTTTGTAGGAGTGTATGGTCCATTTGCATGGGACACCGTGTATATGTGTGTCTGTGTGTCACCGTTATGCGAAACATATGGTCGCGACCGTCGATCACCCACTTCTCCCGCTTTACGTCCTAAAATCTAGCTTCGCGGATGTTCGTTCGAGGGTCCGAAACATTTTGAGCTAGACGTGGAAAAATAATCTATTGTTGCAAACGTCGTATGATAGAAGTCCGCACACTCGTACGTATTTACATACATACATGTACACACGGAACACGTTCCACTACATTTCTTCTTATTTAATTTTTTTAATTCTTTATTATATTTAGTCTAAAAAGGATCGACGATCGTGCTGCTTCGAAACAAATCGACGAAGAGGAAACGTCTGATGTAGGATCCTTTCTTTTTTAAAATCGTTCGATGATATTACGCTACTAGTTTCGTGGATATAAATACACTAGCACTTATAACAAACGCAATGTACCAACGCGTGATTCCATTACGTTTGATTAGGTTTGATTGAGTTTGAGCAACGTCCGCGGATCACTTTCGATCGCGCGAACAAAGTGATTCTATAAAATGGTTCCAAGCGAATGATACTCATACAGCACCCTTTCGAAACAGCATAATTGTCGATGGAATAAATTTCTTTTTTTTTTCGTTATAATATCGCACTTTGCGATTAGAATCACGTGAAACACGTGGCAGTAACATCGAGATTACGTAAAAACATTGCACTTTTCGTGAAAAATATTCGCCGGAAACGCATGGGTTTTGATCGGTACGTATCTTCACCGATTTATTCTTGCGAGTTTAACTGAAGAGAAAGAAAATACCCTCCTTTTCTATATTAGGTACATCCGTGCTACTTAGGTTAACACTTTATCTACCGGTTGCAAATGAAAATAAACGCTATCTTTATCATTTATACTTTCAATTTCTTCTTAATCGTAATACCTAACTTTTATTGTTTTCACTGACTTATAGACGAATATACATTCAATTCCCCTAGGATCTATTGTTCACAGAATTTTTATGGAATCACTCTTGAATCGCCCCGGGATTACTAGAACTATTTTGTTTAGATATCTATCGGATATCTTTTAGATCTAGCGGAGCCGGCGCTATTGAAACGCGCCAAACCCGAATCGCGTCGAATTTGAAACGCTAAATCACATCAAATCGTGTTGAATTAAAAGTGTGTCGAATTTGAAACGCGTTGAATTTCGAGCGTGCCAAATTTGAATGTCAAATTGAATCGCATCAAGTTCAAATCGAATCACATCTGCGGTCTATGAAATTTCATATTCAATTGAATCATATCAAATTTGAAATCTATCGAATCACGTCAAATTTGAAATGCATCGAATTTGAAATATATCGAATCGAATTATAGCAAATTTGAAGTGTATTGAGTCGAATTATATGAAATTTGAAAAGCGTAGAACCGAATCGTCAAATTTGAAATGCATCGAATTTTAAACGCGCCAAATTTGAAACTCGAGCTTCAATTTAAATCACACAGACCTTAATTTCTATTTGCTATATTATATACTAATTATATCCTGAAAACTAGTAATTTGACGTACATTATAGAGAACATAATTTCCTAACTGACCTTGTCAACGTAAACTTACAAGGACTACAAAATCTTGTTAATAAATTCCCGGTAGGTAAAGTGTTAAGCAACAATGTCAATGCCGATTCTCGCAATTAACTTCCTCGTCATTTTCACGATCGATATGATGAACGAATAGCAAGATGATTCCATGGAATCGTTCTTTGTTCTTTCGGTACGATTGAAGTGTATTTTTACTTGTCTTTGTTCTTTGTCACGATATGCATCGAAATTGCATATCCGGCACACGGTGTTCACAGAATACCGTGTGTCCTTTTTCGCTCTCCGTTATTCTCGTAATTTTTACGAAGTTGCGCGCTTTTTCGATTGGCAATTCTGTTCCATCGTCTTATTTATTAACACTTTGACTTTCATACCATTTGCTTTCTTCCACTTTATCGAATTTAAAAATAAAAACTCGAGTATAATTCTATCGGTGTAGAATATAAAAAGGAATGCAAAATTGCAAGAATGGTTGTAGAAAATGTACGGCAGTCAAAGTGTCAATTGAAGTATCATTAACCTATTAACCGAGGAGACTTGTAATCTTTTACCAATCAAAACGATTTTTCGCAATGAGTAATCCTCGGTTAATAGGCTAATCAACATTCTACAACTACGTGAAAGCGATGAACGTTTAGATTCGAATGATTAACGTTAAGATGAATGCCATAGGAGTTTAGCACATTAAAGTCATTTAAATTTCATTAAATGAGTAAAATTGCATTGATGATTGGCAATGACAAAATAATTAAATTTAAATATTTCAACCCCTTATATAATAATTAATATTTAATATTAATTATAATTAATGTTTTTGATATCAAATTCTACTTCAGTCGCAAATTACGATACAAACAAAATCTTGTTATTTAACATATCTTGTATGAATTTGAATTAAATTGTAAATGAGATTTGTGGAATTGAAATTTATCGCACATTTATTTTGGCATTTGCGGTCGACTGATTCTACTTAAGTGATAAAACAGCGATAAGAGGTTAATTTATTTTATCATTTATGGTAATATCTCCTGTGGCAGTCAATATGTTAACGAAGTAAAGATACTGCACTAAGCTCGAAAATTAATTTACGAAATTAATTTTGAGCTGATCTTAACATTTTAAGGAACAGACAAATTTTTCAAATTTGCTAAATTTTTAATATTTCTCAGTTTCCAATTCTTAAATGTCCGTCCTTAAAATGTCAAGCAACCGGAATTCTTCGTACAAGAAACATAATCGAATAATCAATAAAACTGATTAGCCATCGCACGCGATTAGTTCTACGTTATAAAATGCGTTTGATCCACGAAACGATTTCTATAAAAAGTGCGACTTCTTAAAAAGTAGAATCATTTAACTTGTCAATCATTTCATCAATACACTAATATAAATTTATATCGAAGTATAAAATTACAATCTGTAAATTACGTACTCACTTTTCGATTAGGCACGCTAATTCTTTTTACTGTAATTTAAATATTCGAATGTGTTTATTATAAAATTTGACAACTTTCGAAAGACGTTAAAATACGATAAGATGCGCAGTTTCGATTATAATTTTATAAAGTTTCAATCATAATTTTTAAAATTGAAACTGTTCAATTATAATTTTAAAAATTGAAACTTTGTGTCGATGAGATACATCTTATCATATTTTTCGGATAGAGTACCTTATCAGAAAGGGATTGTAAACTTTCTCGCTAGAACGTAGTTCTAATAGTGATATCAACTTTGAGATTACGAAATTTCATCGAAAAATACAAATGTATATTCAGTACGATCGCAGGTTGAGTGCAGTTAAGTTTCTACTTAAACTTTTCGTTCATATTCTTCTTTCCATTTACTTTCTAAGATCTTTCACGCGTGTTGCAACCGATAAACTACAATCACTACGTTCTTGCAAGACCTGGTCACGTAGAAAGAGTGTATAGTAAAATCGTGGTTTATTTTGTTCTTCGGCACTTCGTCATACGTTTAAAATAGTACGACGTTTTCGAGCGACGTTGTGTGGGGAAAAATCATCAATCCGTTTGAGCATATAATTTATGCGCTAAGAAAAAAAATATTATCGTTTGTCTCTTAATTATAAAAACTTGTAAAACTTCTTATCGTTGAAGATTCTTAGTACTTCTTTTGAAAGAATTTTTCTTTCGCATGTGATTTACAGTGAGAAGTCTTTAACGATATTCGGCTACTTTGATAACAAAAACGATTTTAGATACCTTTCGTTACTGCCAAGAGAGTTTATAGAAAGGCAGCACGCGGAACGTAATGGTGCTTTACATTTATGTTACAAGATGTGAGATTTAGTATAGTTATTGTACGAAGTAAATTTGTCTTAGATTTATTAACATTGGCGTAAGTTGGCTTTTAAATGTTCATTTGCAAATTACTAACTTTAACAATATTCAATTTTTTTATACTCAAATTCTCAAATTTTTAATTTTCTAAATTTCTAAATTTACAACCCCAAATTTTCAAATTTCTAATTCCTAAATTTTTAAGTTTTCTGATACTCAAATTTTTGAGTTCCAAATGCCCCTATTCCAAAATTCCCAAATTTCCCAATTACCAAGTTTCCAACCCTCCCAATTTTCAAATTTCCCAGTTTCCAACCCCCCTATTTCCAAATTTCTCAGTTTTCAACCCCCCCAATTTTCAAATTTCCAACTCCCAAATTTCCCAGTTTCCAACCCCTCCAATTTCCAAATTTCCCAGTTTCCAACCCCTCCAATTTCCAAATTTCCCAGTTTCCAACCCCCCCAATTTCCAAATATCCAACTCCCAAATTTCCAAATACTCAAATTTTTAAGTTCTAAATGCCCCTACTCCAAAATTCCCAAATTTCCCAATTGCCAAGTTTCCAAACACCCTAATTTCCAAATCTCCAAATCCTAAATTCCCAAATTCCCAAATTCCAAAATTCCCAAATTTCCAAATCTCCTAATTTCCCAATTTCCAAAAGCTTGATCATATCTATTACATAACAACAACTGTCCATAAAGTAATAAAACTCATCCATCACAAAAGCCTTCATTACACCAATGTAAACAATAAAAACTTGTGTATGACTTTGAAAAAAAAAGTGAGCCTAAAATTTATATAACATACACAGTTCATAAGTTTCAGGTATACAATAAGACAGATTATGACACTCGTACTTGTATGATAAAATGAAGTTTAATACCTCTTTTTTGTATTTTTTTTTTTAGTAGTTTTAGCATACAGTTAGTTTTTTTTAGAGATGCAGGTATCTACAATGTAAGTACACATTCATGTTATAAAAGTCACTACAGTGAAATAACGAGTATTTCATGTAAGATAATTTTCTATATTTATTCATAACTTTCTCTCAATATATATATTTAGATATCATGGATACTATTTCAATACATTTGAATAGAACAGAATATCCTAGCAGGTATGCATACATTTGAAAATATTCCATCTGTAGGATATTTATGAACGTAGTACGGTTTTAGTATAATTTGTCAACGAAACGAGATGAACTAATAACTTTTTTTTATGGGTTGGTCATACAAGTATTCTCTTCATAGGAAGAGAATTTATAATGTAATATTTGTTAAAAACATGTTAGTCCCTTATATATAAACTTTCCAATTTATAAAAAAGTGATGATTGCGAATTATACTAACTTAAAGACAAAGTTATTAGTTCTTAAGGTTTTCTAACTCCAGTTTCTTTAAACATATTTCAAATATTCTAATTTGTAGGGTATTGTTAATATAAATTTTAGCATAACATATTAAGTGTCTAAAACGCTATGTTAATTCTTAAGCTATAAGCAAATAACACAAAGTTTTTATAGATAATCTAAAAGTAAAATGTGCGCTTGAATTACTGCAGTTTCAACATAGCCCCAAGCCATCTAATCATATATCAATTTATCAATTCTATTTATAATGTTTTATGATTTGTTGGCTTCTCGTTCAACCTCAGTTTTAAAAGCATTTTAAATATTTCAATTAAAATGTATTATGCTTAAAAGAACCAAGGATGTGTGTATCCTTCCTTTAAAACGTTAATGTATAATCGTTTTACTTCGCTATAAATTCTTCTTTCATTTATACTAATTCCTTGATTTAGTACCTTAACAGATTAAACGTTATATTAGACATAATATATTATAATGATATACTATTCAAATAATTATTTCGTTGCCATATAAAAATATTCTTAATTTTCTTCAAATTCTTTATTCTCCAAAATATCAACGCTTTTGAAACCAAGTTGTAATTTTCATAAACAACGCGTGCAATTCTACTAAACACATACGTTTTCTTCTTTTTACTTTACAAAATATCGCTGCGATCTTGACGAAAGCAATAACAAAACTTGCAAAGGTAAATTCGTACTTTTAAAAAGAATTTTACAATACGTGCTCCTTTCTCTTATCGAGTCTACGTTTTCTTCTTCGTAATTGGCAGTAACAAAAGTAATCAGAGTAAGATATAGCACCGATGTTCTATACAGAAACGGATGGTATGGCGTAAACAAAATTTCATTCCATGTACTTGCATCGTATCGCATAATATGAAAAATTTGAACAACATTTAAAAAAAACATTTCCAATTACAATATTTACAATCAATATCTCAATGTAACAGGAAGTTTTCCCAACTTCCAATTCATATTAAAAAGTCTGTACTTAGAGATATAATAAAAATTCCAATCTATCAAGAATTTACAACGAATTCAAAAAATAAAAAACAGCATTTCTTCGGAAGCTTCGCAGAGCTCAAACAAAAAATTTTACTATCATCTTCCGACCCTACAACTATATCCAAGTCGCATGTTAGATAATAAAACTAAAGGTGGTCAATGTTTGGATTTAACTACGAATCATCGCAGATGCAAGTGTCGTCGTCATCGATATGTGTCACGACATTTATGGAAAATATTTATAAACGTGGAAAAACTTGTTCAACTCCAAAATAACCACCTTGCCATTTATTAATAGTACTGGTGTTATCTTTACAGAAAAAGGTCGCACATTCGCGAAGGAGTAGGAGAATAACGGTGAGTCAGAAAACGCAGTATAGAAAGACCTTGTATTCATATATAGAACACTTAAAATACTTTTTTAACCCTTATGTTTATACCTCAATGTAGCTATGGACACCTCTTCCATCGTTCTTTAATCGTGCATTCATTTCTTTCATTTACTCGCATGTCACGTTCGTTTATTCCAAGAATATACTGTTTCATCATCATCGTCGTTGTTAGGCGTGTGTACCAGCGGAAATTAAATAATGAATAGCGCTGTTTGGATATTTGGGCTGTAAGAGGTCAAGGGAAAACAGACTCAAGAAAAGTTAGCTACTCGGTCTCTTTAGTTTCACCTTCTTCTGTGGGGAGTTTGCTTGCAAACGTATATTTACACCTCGCCTCTTCACTTGCGGATTATTCTCCATGTAATTGGTGGGATCTGCTGTTGATACATTAGATGCTGATACAAAAATTAACAATTTATAGCCTCTAATATCGTTACTCAAAAAGAATACCCGACTTTCTTTTTGATAAAAACAAAGTCTCTACTAACCTTGCTGCAACCACCTAACTTGCGTCGCTGGTCCATATCCTTTCACGTTTCGTGCTGCTATTCTAAATATTATGGCCGGTGTTCGAGTCGTGTCAACGTATGCGGCACTCAGGGAACTATTGGACACCGAACAGGAATTGTTTGTACCGCAATAGAATTTCGTGAATGTTAGATTCGAATTTGACGACGTTGTCTTTGGTTCTCCATTGTTATTCGATGCGGTGTTCGCCATTGCTATGTAAGCAGAATATTCCAGAATGGGTCCATCGTTTCTATTAGGTGGTGGTTCCCATGAAATATAAGCACCGTCTGCGGTTTTACTAATTTTTATAGCACTAGGTGCTCCAGGGAATCCCGGAACATATGTTCTAAACGCAGATACCTTTAACCAAAAACAGAAACATTATAATTGCGTTCACCATTTTATTCCACATATTTATAATCATTTTATTTACCTCACTCCAATCACTTTGTCCACAACTATTCACAGCAGCAATTCTAAGTTTATAAATAGTTCCTTGTTCTAAGGCAACCTTGGTTCTTCCCTCAAAAACATCCATAGTCAATGGTTGCGTTATATCTAATGGTTCATCGCCAGGTAAATAATAATGTTGTACAGTAAATCTTGATTCTTGTGTCACTCCCACATCATACCATTCTTCTTCCTTCTTTTCTTTTTCATTCTATAAACAAAAAAATGTATGAACAAAAAATTTAACAATAAACTTCATAGCAAAAATATTTTCAATTACCTGTTCAGCTTTAATTTTCATTGGTTGTTCCGCTGAACCTAAGGCAGCTGTAGCTAAAGTAGTCAAAGCCGTAGAATCGTCTCCATTTTCTGTTCTATTACCATTCATCTTTTCCTGTTTTACAGGCTCCTTTTTAATTGATTCTTCTTTAATTTCCATTTTAATTTGGGTTATTGGTTTCTGAACATCCATCTCCTTTTCGATAAGAGTGACGTTATTGATAGTCGCCGTTGGTTCAGCCATTTTAATTTCTTGTTTCATCGGCTCATCGGGCTGCTCCAACTTTATTTGCATGATAGAAGTTGTGATCGGAATATTGATGTTGGTAGAAGTCAAACAAGAATCCGTCATAGGTTCGTCGGTGTCTTCCAGTGTTTCCATAGGAGACGTTCCTTCCGGCAGTTCCATTGACTGTTCCGGAACTTCATGTTTTATTTTTGACATGTTTTCTTGGTTATCTTCGTGAGAAAGTTGCGATATGCTATCTTCGGGTGATAAATGTTCAGGAGCTGATTTTTCATGATCAGAAGTGTATGTGTCCATAGCCATAAGTTTTATGTCTGCACTTTCGGCATGTTCGTTTTCCTCGTTCTCTGGCAGTTCCATGGCGTCTGGCATCGACGCTTCTTCCGATGAGGCCTCTACGGGTTCTGGCATACTTGAAATATCAGACTTTGCTTGCACTTCTTCGGATGCGTTACTTGTGATTTGCATGGTAGTTTCGTTTGATGGTTCCGATTCGTTAGCAATTTCGATAGGTATTTCATTGTCATTTGGTTCAGCATCGGCAAAAGGTTCAGACTCTACGGGAATATCTTCTGCGGTACTTGTTGAAACAGGAACTTCGGTTGCTCCTTCCGAGGAAACTTCTGCATCCTTCATGGAAGACTCCTCCATATGAACACTTTCCGTAGGCGCATCGGCAGGATCTTGCTCCATGTTTGCAGAATCTGCAACCTGCTGTTCCTCCTGATTCTCGATGGGAGGATCCTCCGCCAAGTCAATCTTATCATTCTCTTCGTCGTCGTCAGATAAAAGAACATCGGCCGGGCCATCAACTTGAGGAATTAAAAAGTTACCATCTCTATCAATTTGCATAGTCTCGCCAGCTCCCATTTGAGAGACCAAAGCTGCTGCTGTGGTTGTTTCATCACCATTGCAGCTGTCGTCCATTTTACTATCTCCTGCTCCACCGTCATCTGTAGATACCATGAAAGATAAGTCTCCAGAAGGTTCCTGAACCGGATCTATTAAACCTGCTTCCGCAGCTAATGCAGCCAGCGCTGCATCAGTGGTAGCAGGGCCATCAGATGTGGATGCTAATGAAGCTGACGGTTGTTTCTGTGAAGGAACAAACAACATTTTGCTTGTATCTATCGTTTCCGATACGCTCGAAGTAGTTGCTATTGTACTGCTTGTGGGCATAAGAGTCACTGTCTTTGCACCTATGCCACCAGACATTTGCAAGGTTACGGGTTTGCCAGACACTGTTACGGTTTCTGGTGTTTTTTGTATTTGAGGCATAGTGACAATTTGACTTTTGCCGGGATTGAAAATGGCTTGTGGAGTTCCTTTAGTGGCGATAGTCACAGTTTTCGGTACTCCACCTTGGCCTGGAACTGTGATAGTGATAGGCTTGCCGGTAGTTCCACCACCCATCGCACCAGATGAAACAACTATCATTTTTACACCTTGCTGATTTGTTACGTGATTGGTAGCTGATAAGGGTAAAACATTTACGGGTGTAGTAATATTAGCTGCTTGTCCAGTACCTGCTTGAGAGGTAGTGACAGCTTGTACAGCTCTTAAGCCTGAACCTGTCGTGACTACAATTATCTGGTTGCGTCCGACTAATCCACCGTTGCCTCCAGGTTTTGTGATCATTATCGTTTGTTTACCGCTGATATTCTGACCTTTGCTCATCGCAACGATACTAGATGTTTTCATGGTTGTAAGAATCTTGGATCCTGCTACAGTATTAGGATTTACTAGTCTCAGTATTGTTGGTCCTTGGTTAAGAGGCTTTGCACCTGTTGCTTGAACGGTCTTTCCGGGAATGAGGCTTACTTTTGGTACAGTTGCTACCATTCCTTGTCCAGTTTTAAGAAGATGTACAATCTGAGGTTGACCGGCTATATTTTGGCCCGGTTTTTGAAGGATAATCTGTTTACTTTGCTGCGGCGAAGCAGTTCTCAGTACTGTTGCGCCAGGTGCAGCGAAACGTATTTGTTGGCCAGGTTGAACATTTTTCATTCTAATCGTGTTTGCAGTAGTTTGTGGAAGAATTGGTACGTTGTTCATACTTATTTTTGGAGTAGCAGCCGCAGCTGCAGCAAGGGCAGCAATTCCTGACATAGCAGCTGGTGTTTGACCTGCCACTGTAGTGTTAGCAGTTGCAGGAGCTTGTTCGGGAGTTGTTGGTGTTGTTGTAACTAAGGGAGAACGAATTCTGATCAGATTTCCTGCGACTCTTGGTGTCATTGGGCTTGTTGGTTTTGTTACACTTTGTGATGCTACTGGTTTTTGAACTGGACTTTGCACAGTTGATTGTACTCGTACTGGGGTCTGTGGTATGGACGGCTTGACAGCGGTAGGAGTTGATGGAAGCTCGGGAGCAGTGGTGATAGGCGCAGATGTAGCAGAATCAGTTGCAAGTGTAACCATTGCTGTTGTAGTAGTAGGTACTGCGGTATTCGCTGGTGTGCTGACTGCAGGATATGTTCCAGTTGTTGCCGAAGGTTTACACTTTTGAATTTGTAATATGTAGTATTGTGCAGATGGTACAGGTGTCCATTGAATTTCTAATGCTTGCAAACTGGCTCTAACTAAGTTCAATTTGGATGGTGCAGATGGTTTGCCAACTTCAAGGTACCACAAATCTTTGCAACAAACCTAAAAACACAAATTAGTCATATTTCATAAAAAATAAAACCATTCCTAATTTAAAGATTAATTTTATGGACTAACCCTAACCTGATTGTTCCAAGCTTTACGATATCCATCTCGACCCGACCACACATAGAGTTTATTATGCATCCCAATTGCACAATGACCGGCACGCGCGCGAGGAACATTTTCTTCCAAAGTATCAACCGTTAACTGTTCCCACGTCCAAGTTTCTGAAATAATATTAATTAACATTTAATTTTGAACAATTGACATGAGATAAAAAATACCGACATTGAACTTGATTACCAACTTACCTATATTTAAACAAGCCAACGTATTTGTGCACTTCCATTCTTTCTCATGAGTTGCAACTTTAACATCATCAACAACAAGTGGTACCCATCCGCCAAAAACGTACATTCGATGACCAATTAAAGTGGCAGTATGAAGAGAACGTGGTAATGGAATAGGACCATGTACCATTGGTTTGTTCCAAGTCATTGAATCAACATCAAGATACCACAAATCACCTAAACGACAACCACTCATGCCCCCATAAATCACTAAACAGGTTTTTCCTGTTTTACTATCAGAATAAGACACCCCAGTATGAGACTCCCTAGGTGGTGGTGCATGCCCATGTGTTTGCGGAACATCCCAAGCTGTTTGTCCATTCGGGAGCAGTTCAAGGGTATATAGATCATTTAAATATCTTGGTATGTTGTTCTTATGATCTTCACTGTCATTAGCCAATCCTCCAAAGAGGAAGACTCTGTTACCAATAAGAGTGAAACTATGCCCCAATCTTGGACATGGTGGAGGATCATTTTCTGGTGGTCTAGGTCTCAGTTTCTTCCATTCCCACCTAACTGCTTGGAGTTCATAGAGCTCATCAGAATACTTTCCATATTCTACCATACCACCAAATACCAAAATACGGCTTCCATCAACGACAAATCCATATGCCGCACAGCCTGGTGGGATATCACCTTTTGTAGATGGCACGAACCATTGGTTAGTGGCTGCAACAAAAAATAATTTTATTAATCATGACACTATTTTCAAATAATAACATACAAAATATTTAATGTAATATATATTTTATACTCTTGATTAAACATAAGTAAAATTCAAAAGCTCTTAATCATTACTACATGTTATGTAGAAGAAAGAAAATAAAGAACTGAAACAACAAACTAATACTATGCTAATTTAAAATGAATTTATTTAGTAATATTAATGTAAGTACAACACTGAATAATTCAATTTACTGATAAGATACAAATAATCTCATATTTTTATGAACAATAGCTTTGTTATATTTATAACATTTTATATAATAAATTTTACATATAGTTTTATAAAATATATCTAACATAATACTCACACAAATAAGTCTTAGCGACATAGTAAAAGAAATACTATGCTTAGTCGTGATATGATAAAGACTTGAAAACATAAAATGAAAGAGTGGGAGGAAAAATAGGAACGGAAGGAAAAAAGAAAAGGAAAGGTGAAGCGTGAACGTGGAATGACGGGAAACGCGGCGCGTTGCAAATTGTGGTGGGGCGTAAGAGACAGCAATGGCCGCTCCCGTGCGTATAAACATGAAAAATGACAGATCGAACGAATTCTGCATATGAAATTACCCTAAAGTTTAGCAAATGAAACATAAAAAGACATTTACAATGCAGGTACATTCAACCTGTACGAAACATATGATAATAAAGCATCTGGCATGAACAAAATTCAGATTTACAGAGTGATCCGGCCGGTGACCGTTTTGTCAATGTATGCCGCCATCTTGGATCGCGGGAATGATCAAGAACGGCGCGAAAGACGCACAGCAAGGAAGCAACTTACTCGTGTTATAGACATGAAGCTCGTCAACAATGCCCTCGTTTCCACCGCCGAAAACGACCATAAGGTCTTTAAGAGCGACTGCCCTGTGTCCATGTCTAGGTCTTGGCTGGGGTCCGGATGGATTTGTGATCCGCTTCCACTTTAGCATGGGTGCCGCCATGATGACCATCGATCACATCATTTTTTCATACCGCGCAGCTATGCACCCACTGTGTTACCCTAGAGCAGTAGGACGCCCGATGGTTTCGGAGATAGTGCGCCCTTATTTTTTAAATCTTCCTACCTTCAATATTTTCGATTCGATAACTCGTATAACTTTGAAGGTTCACACACCCAATATAAACGTACTATTCTCGGTATTCTCAGCACTGTCAATATCGTACGTCTCGATTATAACCTACCTTTAACTAATGTACTTCACCGATTATCTTGTCCTAACAAACTGATTCATACGAACGTAAAGTCAGACGAATTTTCCTTGATAAGAATCATGAAAATTCTACACGATTTAGAAGACGTCTGTAACGTAACACGTATACACAGAACGCACACCGTATATTTACGTTCACGATGTTTACGGCACTGGTTTTACATATTCTAGTATGCTCACTCGATACTTGTTAGTAGTTCAAATGGACAAATGCACATATATTATTCATGTTCCACGATTATCGTTGCGATCAAATTACGATTTGAAACGTTCACTCTACTCAAAAACATTCTTGCAATGGTTAGAACGATACTTTTTACGTAAACTAAACGTTATACTCTTTTTGAAACTGACAATGAAATGATAAAAAATGGCGAAATAAAAAAATTTCCCTACATGTACTTCAATCCATGGTCTAGGGATATATCTAACCAGGAGTGTAATATTTCTCTATACTCTGCTTCTGCGTTTATGGCCATATAACCGGTGGATGAAGATAAATGAACAGTAAAAAGCGCTGATAATGTAGTACATATAATAAATATTTTAATCAATTTTGGTAATATGTTCAGCAATTATATGACTGTAATGAAAAATACTTCCTCAAACGAACAGAATATATGAAAATGAGAAATCATGAAATATTCTGTCCACTTAGTATATATTTTTGGCGTCACAATCCTTATAAGAGCGCATGTGCAATACCATAGATCATATGATATATAGAATTGATTAGAGTTAACATGCGCAGAAACAGCGGATGTTGTCTTTTGGACACATTAGTAATTTTTACTAGGAAAGTATTTGTTTCAAATTCAAAATTTAACTGCTTATGACGCTTTGAATGTGATTACGAATTTCATTAGTAGAATAGTGTTTATAGAATAGTAAAATATCAGCACATATGGTACTAAAACCAAATAGTAATGAAGAATAAAATGAAAATATTTCGTGAACAATTTAGGCAACTATATAAACTATGAATATTTATTATCTTAAATTATGCTACAATTGAAAAACACTTTTCTATGCTAAAATAAATTGTACAAATTAAAGAGTTTTTAGATATAAGTATATAAAATGTAATTACAACTTTTATTTGTAACTTCATTATATATTTATATATTTTTAAAATATAATTCCTATGTACTGTTTCAATATGAAATAATAATAACAGTACAAACATTAAAATTCATGTTTTACTTAGTGAATTACTATAAAAACATATTTTTAAGACTGGATACACATTCGTATGCTTCATATTATTTACAATACTTTTGAAAATATAATACCCTTGACATTAACATACTTAAGGAATAGCAAAACTTATATTAATATACTGTGACGTACAGATTGAAATAATCATGATTCATTAGTAGTGTCAGATACATTAATGGAAAGAATATAAAAAATTATCTGAATTGTACAGGACTTATTCTCAAACCAATACATTCTTTTCCAACTAATGCAACTTCACAAATCTTACACACTGAATCTTTGAATTGTGGCAAATAACTTGCGCCACACAATGGGCATTTAACTTCCGGCTTTCCTCTATAAATTGGAACAAACGTGCTTGCACATAAAGAGAATGGATTATGTTCGTCATATGCTAACTGATGCTCATCAACAGGATTCTTATCACATGCCTGAAACAAACAATCAAGACATAATTATTTTATTTAATAATAATATTTGACTTAAATCAAAAATACAAACCTGTAGAATTTTTCTAATTTGTTGCGCTAATTCAGGTTTAGGTCCTAGCTCAAGTAGCCTTCTTGCAAAAGAAGCAGCGGTTTTATAATTCTTTAACTTGAAGAACATATTTACAGCTATCCTTAAAGTAAGGATCTGATGAATAGGTTGTAAGTTGCAATGTGTGAAGTACGCTGCCATTTCGCAGATTCGTTTCTGCTCGGCCAAAGTAGCTTTAGGCAGATTCTTCCTTTCAGTTTCCATCTTCAGACCTAGAATATACTCTCTGCAAATTTGGATCAATTGCTGAGCCTCTGCAATATCTTGTCTTGTATCAACAACTAGTAACGGCACACTGAGTAAAATTGCTTGAAGTTTCTCTATTGCTTCTGGGAATTTTCCACCAGTTGTCAAATTATAGCATACTTGAAGTCGCTGGACTAAATCAGTAAGATGTAATCCAACTGCAGGGAGACCACTCTTTGGGGTCGCATCTTTCCAATTTCTCTGAGGATAACCATACAACGAAGGAATATTTGGCAATGAAGCAAATGATGTTCTGGAACGAGCGAATGTATTCATGAAAAGATTCTGATAAGCTTCAAATTCAACGACACCGACTTGGTCGTTCAGTAATCTAAATGCACTTTCAAACGACCCTGCTAATATGTGGTCTACGGCTAACTGGGAATTATTCACCCAATGTTGAATCGGAGATACTCCTTTAGTCGGAGGTGAATAATAACCATCTTCTACTGCATTTGTCGTAGTTTCAAGTTCAGGTGGTAGATCCACATCTTCAACATCCCATCCGGCGCTTTCCTCGCCTTCAGGAGCCTGTTCGTTCTCCACACCTTCTTCGTCATCTATTCCCAACTCTTCATCATTACCCCATCCATCAGCGGGTACAGCGCTGTCATCCTCGGGTGCTAATGCGGCAGCCACTTGGCTCTTACCGCGTGACATCATCGCACCCTCGAAGAAACCTTTCGAGACTGTTAATAATGGCCAGTTGTTCTCTGCTTGTTGAATAGGTACTGGAGGGCGGAGGTATTCTGCTCCCTTTTCAAGAGCGGATAGTTCTTCGCTCATGGAACTGTAGAGGACATCATCTTCTGGAGATGAAATACCGTGAATTTTTTCTGTTACGTAAGCTAAAGAAGCTTGGCCAGAGCTCTGAAATGTAAAATCAAATAAGAATTCAAAGAAAACAATTTAATTTATGTCATACAATTACATACCCGTAGTATCTTTGCACGTTCATGAATATCTCCAAGTAACAAACTACCTTGATACTGTCCAGACACATCTTTCCTAATTTCTGCAATTTTTATCATTTTGCGTAATTTTTCTAAGTTACCAGTTATAAGATAAAGGAATGATAATTTTTCGAAATTCTTAGTTCTCTGATAACACATCTCGACGACTTGATGATTTCCTTGTAGTAAGGCTGCTTGAGCCAAACTCTCCCAGCAATTCTTCTGGTTAAGGGTTCTTGCAGCTTCTAGAGCAACTTCGATGTTTCCACATTCAAGTGCAAGTCCGAATCTCGTCTTTTCATCTTTGACGAAATGCAAAGCAACTTCCGGATAACCTTTCTGTTGCAAATATGCAATTATAGATTGACCAACAAGATTTGCATTGCGAACCATGTGCAAAACCTCCTCGTATTTCCTGTTGATCAGAGCTAATTTGAATTTATATTCGGTTGGATCTATTCTAAGAATCCTTGGTCTACATTCTCTGTCTAAGCAATAAACTTGGTTGCCTTTGACTCTGGTTACATATATGGGGAGGTCTAATGTACGAATGATACCGTGATCACCGTTGTTAATTGCATATTTGATGTGATTGCTAGTAGTATAAATGAAAACTCCTGAATCGTCCCAAGCTCCCGATTTTACTCTAGTATTTTCGTGTACGGAGCACAGAGATTCTAATCGCCGATTGCAAATGTTAACTGTGTGTTTGGCAAGCAAAGCAACGTGAGACATGTCGTTGGACCAAACAACATATCTACATTTAGAGATCTTTACTTCTGCCAATGTTCTTTTCTGTTGAACGTCGAAGAGAATTACTTGATCAGCATCGCGTAACAGAAGCATTCCAGTACCGGCATAAAATATCTCATCGCAGTTCGGAATCTGCACTTTCTTTGTAACTTCGTTTTTCAAGTTCTTGATCACCAACTGCAACAGAAAATTAAGGAATTAAATTTAAGTATTTCTAAACGAAGTAATTTGTTTTAAATACATACCGAATATGCTCTATCTAAGACAGCAAAACGATTTCTAGCAACCCAAATAGCGGTGACTCCAGAAGCCCGTTTTGTATCGGCATCGGTGCTTGAACTGCCCTCACGCGGTATCATGTACAAATCATAAGTGCTGTTTTCAATATTATTGGGTGCTCTAGTACAGATTAAAACAGCATTCTCAGGTTGATTATATGACATACTGTAAGGAGGTGTCTTTCCACCTCCACGTATTTGCATAACAGATGTATCTTTTGAAGTAGTGAAATCTAATTTCCTAAGGAAACGTTCTTTCACGTAATAAAGTACATTTCCGTACACGGCATATGCTGGACGTTCTCTTTCAAGTTTGAAAATAATCATTCCAGAATCATGTCCAGCAGCAAAGAGATTTAAGGTAGGATGTGCTGCAAGGATCCAGAATCTATCGTGTTCTCTTCTAAATGTGTGTAAGCAAGTACGTTTGGACATGTCCCATACACGAATACTCTTGTCCTCTGAATTTGAAAGAATTAAATCTTGTCTAGGATGGAACAGTACACAGGAAACATTGTTGTAATGTCCACGGCAAGTATCCACTTCCCATGCTTTAGCATCATTCATTCTCCACATTTTAACTTGACGGTCATCAGCTCCAGAAGCAATTAAAGGTAATGTGGGATGGAAACTTGCCCAATTAACACCTCTATCATGTCCCTCGAGAACATGCTTAACAACAGCATCAGCCTGGCCAAATAAATCTGTTGCTCCAGGATTTTTTAAGTGATCTTCCAAACCTCCTGGACCAGGAGCTACATTTTTCTTTCGTAAACCAGAAATATCCCATACTCTGACTGTTTGATCCAAAGAGGCTGATACAATAATATCTTCTGTAGGATGAAACTGGGCACACATTACATAGTGATTGTGTCCAGTTAAGACACAGATACAGGTACGACTTTGCCAGTTCCAAATACGAATTGTTTGGTCATCTGATGCGCTTAAAATCCATGGGTATTCTTGATGGAATACAATTGTTCTAATGTAATCCAAGTGACCTAATAGTGTAAAAATGCATCTACGTTGTTTGTAATTCCATACTTTAATCTTATAATCATCACCACCAGATGCAAATAGCGGTTGCTGACTATGGAAACAAATTCCTCTAACAGGACCATCATGTTCATCAAATTTATCTAACAAAGTACACATACGATAGTCCCATAATTGTATAACTCCATTGTGTAAACTATAACAGATAAATAGTACATGTGTTTGCATCATTTACATTATATTTTTTATTTAATGGCAACTTTTTATTTAAATTCATTAAACTGTATTGTAACAGTTTGAAAGGAAAGGTAATGAAGGAAGTACAGAATATTTACCTTACAAGAATCCAAGGACGTTTTGGATGAAACGATATCCCCTTTACTCGGGCGGATTTTGTTTCAAATTTTGTCAACATGTTTGATTTAAATATCTAATAAAATTGTATTTAAAAAAACATTCCCTCCTTCTAACCTGTAATATCTGACACGACTAAAGACACGTCACTACTGTAGGCACGAAGTACAGTGTTATAATAGATGTTCAAATACAATTTACGACATTATACAAAAGTAGCATTGAACAATAATAATTAAAAAATAAATTTCAGCATAAATTAAGCACAATTATTCTATCGTAATTTTTAAAATTAATTATAAAAGTGTATAATACATTTCTATTTATTTTTTAAATAAATTCATCACTTGCGATTTTTAATTTTTTACTTCAACATTCAGTTGTTTTAAATTTGGAATTATTTGAGGAGGAATGATGTTTTAATTAGATGTTTTACTGAATGATATAAAAGAATCAACATTTATTGTTTTCAGAATGATTCGACCATGTTTAATCTATTCAAACATGCGCAAAGTTATTTACAAAATACTTGTTTGGCCTATGGTGTTCTGCTATCAATGTCGAGGACTGATGTTATCTTTCCGCTTATTTTAGATTTACATAGTTGAGATATTTTATATAATTATGACTTTATGTGAAATATTGTAACTCAATTATTGAGACATATTTTTTCTTTATTTTTGAAGCGGACAATTTTCCATTAAAATTTTTACATTAATACGAACGTAGAGTAGTAATTGGTAAATTCAAATACAATAATGCGAAAACCTAACAATGTTCCTTTTTTTCATTTATTAGGTTTTTTTATTTTACTTAACATATTAGTATACGTGGAATGTAACAAGGCACCTTCAAGTGAAGAACTTAAAGCTTATAAATTTCCTCCATGTGCAGCTTGTAAACAATTAATAAATAGTTTTAAAAAGGTAAGTACATTATTTATTATAATTTATTAAATATAAAAGATCTATAGAAACTATTCCATATGTTTTTCTTTTAATGAATGTATCCAACTCAAAATGTATCATATTTTAAACAAATTTTATAATATGATTCTTGCATAGTTTTATTTTTTTTAAATATGTTTATTTAATATATTTTTATGTTTATATTACAATTTTTTTTCACAGGGAATAGAGAGGACTAGTCGTGAGAAATTTGATGGTGGTGACAGTGCATGGGAGGAAGATAATTTAGGTTCATATTCAAAAAGTGAGACTAGATTAATAGAAATACAAGAACATTTATGTAAGGAAGTAGAACGTGGTGAAACTCAATGTCACGCTTTAGCCGAAGAATTAGAGAGCAACATAGAAGAATGGTGGTTTAATCACCAACAAACACATCCAGATCTTTATGATTATATATGTATTCAACAGACAGAGCGTTGCTGTCCAAAAGATCACTTTGGTCCAGAATGTGTACCATGTCCTGGTTATCCAGATAAGGTTTGCAGTAACAATGGTAAATGTAAAGGAGCAGGAACTAGGAAAGGAAATGGTGGATGCGTCTGTGACAAAGGATATGATGGAGAAAACTGTTCTGAATGTTCAACTGGATTTTATGAATCATACAGAGATGAAAATAAGTTACTGTGTTCTCAATGTCATGCTGCCTGTGATGGTCCTTGCGATGGACCTGGACCAAAGAATTGTAAAAAATGTATGAGAGGATGGTATATGGTAAAAGAACAAGGATGTTTTGATATTGATGAATGTATAAAAAGCGATGAATATTGTCCTGGAAATCAGTTTTGTATCAATAAGGATGGAAGCTATGCTTGTTTAAGTAAGTTACAATAAAGATATTTATTTGATGATGAAAGAATTAACTTTTTTATTTAATTTAGGTTGTGACAAAGCTTGCAATGGTTGCACGGGTGATGGTCCAGACATGTGTTTGAAATGTGCTGAAGGATATTATAGAAAAGAAAATTTGTGTATAAGTAAGATTAATACTTTATTATACTTATTGATATAATTGAAAGAGGGTACAATGATTATATTAAGTGTTTAGATATAAAATAAGTATTTTTTTTCTAGATTCTGATATTGTTGGTCGCAAACAGAAGGAAAATGTTGCTAGATATACTACATATTTTGGACTTTGTGTTGCAACATGTATTATATTTCAACGTAACATTTATATAGCTAGTGTAATTGGATTATTAGTTGGTATATACATATCAGTGTCAGAGTATATGATAGCTCATAGCAATGTTCAGGACACAACAGCAAATGTAGATATATTAGGACCAGCATAAATATCTATGTGTTTTAGTAAATTTTTCTTTATTATTTGGTAAATTACAATTTTATATAAAACAGTGTAAAATAAATAAATTATTACAAATACTTATAAATAATTTATGGTTGAAGTAATTCATTATTTATAGTTGTATAACTTACTTTGAAGTTTCCAAATTTTGTACATACTTTATATATAGGGCTATATTATATCTAATAGATAAATACACAATAATTAAGTATTTCTGGACTTTTATTAAAACATAATTGTTTTTTGTAAATATTTCAGTTATTTTTAAAGTATTACCTGAAATATTTATATATAATGCTTAAAAGAATACTGATAAAATATTTAAAAACAAATTCGAAATATATATAGCGTTTAGTATAATATATTATATTAGTGTTTAATTTTCACGTGTCCATTAAAAATATACTATAACTGTAGTATTTAAAAATAATAAGTGTAAATCATGATGGAATAGCAATGGTTAATTCTTACATTTTGACGACAGGTGGCTACCACGATTAACTGTTTCTCGCATAAAAGTATGCTGTGTATAGTCTTATATGAACGTCAAAAACTACCGTCAATTTGCAATACTCTAAGTATCATATCCATAACCAATTTTTGTGAGAAGCTGTGGCACTGCAAAGCCTCCACCATAAATAAATTTAATATAAATAGTTTTCTAAATTAAGTAGAACTAAATTATTGTTGGTTTACTAAAATATGTGTGCAATTTTGCACATATTAAAGTAACTAGATTCGTAAATGTACATTATAATATTGATATTAATTTTTTATTTTAATACTAATATTCACAAATTTTATCTGATCAATGTTAATCATTTTCAGGCTTTAACATGTCTAACATATTCAGTAAATTTTATTCTTTTTGAAAGCATGCACTTAGAAATGTTTCGCTTCTGTTCATAAACTCATTTTCAGTTCATTTTCTTCTATTATTATTACCAGTATTGCAATTGTTATTATAATTGCTATTTGTGTTATAAATATACTTAGGAATTTTATATATCTGATTTTTATTATTAAGGTTTCTTAACATTAAACTCTTGTAGTTTTGTAGAGCCCAGCTTTGAAAAGAAGTCTTCGATACGTAGTTTAAGAATTGAGGTTTTAACCGATAGATGGCTACTGCGCTCGAACTTTACTCACAGTTAACATAGCTTTTGAGAAGTTTAAAGGTGTTAGGGTTGAGGGATTAAGTTGCAATACTCTGGAATCATATCCATACCAATTTTTGTACCTAGTGGAATTATTCCTCAGCGGTCATAATTAATAGCAAAAATTAAATATTAAACTTCTCATAGAATATTCTCAAAGAATTTCAAGTCTCCAATTACGTAAACTTCCTTGCAAAAGGAAACACGAAGGATCATTTTTACCTCAGAACCATTAACGTATCTAAACTTCTTGTCTAAGAAGTGCCGCCTTATGCTGCCTCACATTGCACGACTATGCGTTATATCGCCATGCGTCAGATCTCTATGCATTAGATTTTCACACGTTAGATCTCCACGCATTGTACCGCCACGCGTTAGATCACCACGCACCGCATTGCTACGCGTTAGATCGCGACGCTTCGTATCACCACGCATCGAATACTTAGATCTTGCATTGCCACGAATTAGATCACCACGCGTTGTGTACCTACGCTTCAGATCTCCACGCGTCAGATCCTCACACGTTACATCTCCACGCGTTGCATCGCCACGCGTTAGATCACCACGCACCGCATTGCTACGCGTCGCATCACCACGCGTTAGATCCCCACGCACCGCATTGCTACGCGTCAGATCGCCACGCGTTAAATCACCACGCATCGAATACCTACTTCCTGTATCACCACGAAAGTGATCACGTCAAACAAAATGCAACGAACATCATACACGCCGCACCTCGACTCAACGTGATATCAAATTTTAAATTCGCAGAAACAAGTGTTTCTTGAACATGTATCCACACGTCGATATTCCTTTCGTCTCCTCATAATTGAATCATTAAATTCATTTCCGGACGTGCGGTTTTTGAACGTGTATTCGCTTTCCTTGAGCTTTATTCAATTTCGAGGGTGTTTGATATTGAAATATTTGTGTTTTGTGCGGGGTTGGTGAAGGATGTGTTTTTTGGGAGGTTGGTGTATGTTGGAATTTGATTGCGGGTATATTTCGGTGTGTGCTTTTTGAGGGAGGGTTGACAGGTCCTTTTTATGGCGGTATTCTTCGAGGTATGCGGGATTAGGGAACTGAGGCGGTGACCGATAGATGGCTGGGGCTCGGTTCCTTTGCTCGCTGGAGAAAAGGTTCGGAGAGACTTAAATACGGTTCTTTGGGGCTTGGAAGGTGCAATACTTTTGTATCATATCCATATAACAATTTTTGGAGAGCGGAGAAATCATTTCCCACCCCTGTAATATATTCAAAAATTAAAACAATTCTCGAAATATTTTGTGAAAAATACAATTCTAATCATCGTCTGTATTTCTTACAATTTTCCGAATTAATATACGTGGAAATTGGAAATACACTATTTCCATGGCGATCATACAGAGAAATATTTGTTCTTCGATTTGTTATGCAGTAAAGTACAACCTCAAGTTTGTAATATCTTTTTTGCAAATCTTCTGTGAACTGCATTGATGTGTTCAGGTACGTATAAAAGCAACATCATTCTTTTCTTTGCTATATTTCGAAAATAGTCTTCTTTAGACTTCATTCAATACACATTTTGTTATAACTCATTATATGAATAGCTTATTGTATGAATTACCTACAACAGGAATTAATATCATAACTATAAATGTAGTTAATAGTATTCTTTTTATTTGTACATAAATATATCGACGTTATTTACAGGAGATTGATAAAAGTATACATATAACGTTAATAATAAGAAAAATGTATAAAAGTCTTTCTTCTTTGTTTCATACAAAACTTCATAAAACTTGAAGTCTTACATGAATTCACTATTAGCTTACAATGAGTGTTCATATAAATGCATAGTTTTATAGATAGATACATCAAGAAATGAAATGCAAAAGAAATTTATTTCTTCACAAACCATTACAATTATTATAAACATTTATTCTATAAATGTTCAATTAACATCAACCTAATCAATATTTTAGGAATCTTAACTCTATTTTACTATTAGACTAATTGCAAAATTTTATGTCTATCTTCTATTTTATATTCTATTTTCTATTTTGAATTATTTTATCAAAGTCACATCATGTTCACAAATGTGCCACGAAATTAATACACCCCTTATAAATATTCTTTGTATCACAAATTTTCTTTGTATTTACTTAATCTTGAAACATAGTAACGATACATTACGAAATTTTTTTTGTAGCTAATTTAGTGAATACCGCTAATTAAATTTTGTGCTACAAATAATATTTGATACCCGAGATCGGAAAATGTGAAGTCTTTGTCGTCGAACGTGGAATTTCCGTTTGCTCGAAGTATTGGTATAAAAAAATAAAATGAAAGAACCCCCTTTTCCTAACCCTCTTTTTAACCCCCTAGCGGCTGCTGGCACCTGGACCAAAAACTGTTCACCCTTCCTTCTTTTTTTAGTTCCCTTCCCCCCATTTATACTCCCGATTCAAGGATTTACCCCTGCCGGATTGCCCGAAGGGTTGTTTTAAACAACGGTACAGTTCCAAGCCCGATCAGGAAGACGAACTTGATATTCTTTTAGTCTCGATATATCGTGCACGGAGTTCACATTCTCGTTTCATAATCGTGCTATTTTTGTGATATTATTACGTAAATTTGTACAAAAGAGTTATATAAATTTTATTTTCGTGTAGTGAAATTTAACAAGTTGAATTGTATTGAATATCAAGATCATTTGATTCACAAAAATGTGAGGAGTGATTTTTAACGTGTTAGTTCGTTTTAATTCATAATGGAGAAATAAGGTTACAAAATCTGTTTAGTGATAAAAATAGATTTATTTCATAGTTTATTAATATAAGTCCGAAGTTGCACGAAGATATGTGGAATAGATTTCATTTAAACTATTTCTTGAGATAGTATAATTTATACAGAGGTGGATATTTTGAAATTGGGAAAGTAATAATTTATCAAGATTTTGAAATCGGTTGCATGGACTATTTCTGATATTTCTATTAGCTTTTATACATAATTAATGCGTGGAAAGCTTAATCTAAGAAATATGTGTTATTTTGGCTGCAGTGATCAGTTTTAAAATACTGTATTAATTTAAAAATATCACATATTACATCTCCATGTTCATAGTACCTACATTTTAATAGTTTATTATTATTAGGTTTATCAAGTTATTATTGACATAACCCATAAGCTATTTATTACTTCATGAATTTGTAAAGAAACAAATTAAATTGTTAGACAATAGTACAATTTTTAACAATAATACTAAAATTGATACCTTGCATTAAATTTTATTAAATCAATAATCCTACTGAAAGAATAATTATCTCAATTACTAATTTATTTTATTGTATCTTTCAAAGTAAAACTTTGTACTTAAACAAAGGGTCATAAAGTGTTTCAAAGAATGAATAGTAGTCTTTCAATTCTTGACTACACATTTAAATAAATTAGCCAACAAAGATCATAGAATTTTTGTTTAATCTATAAAGAACATAGAATTTTACTTAACATTAAGATTTCATAAATGAATCTTAAAGTTTGCATTGCATAGTTTGATTTATAGTTACATTACATAGAAACAAATACGAAGATGTTTAATTTTAATCATAGATATAGAATCATGTTTCATTAAGTTCATATCGTGTCCCATATTTTAATGTTTCAATTGGAAAAATTTATGTCTGAGATATATAAAGTGGCTATAAGTTTGTACTGGTTGTAAGAGTAATAGAATATGGTGATTGTCCAGAATTTTTCGCCATTTTTCGATTCATCGAAAGTAGCCAGGGGCTGCCTAGACAATATACTGATCTGTGGAAATGGATTCGAGGGGGTGCGTATAAGGATCGCCTTTTACCCTCCTAGTCCGACAGCCCATTGGTCAGATCAGATTC